GATCAACCCAAGTGCACTCATAGTCACAGAATGAGAACTACATGCTTAACACAACTTTTTTCTGGCAATGAAGACCGCGGGCTACGCTATACAGGTATACCCGTGTATTCGCCCATCGGAGCTGTGTACACGCGGTCTGGAAAAATAGCCTCGTATATTCTACGGAATTGTCAGTTCGATGCACGGTGTTTGGCCTCTTCCACCGAGCGGCACAGTTTCCGTGTGGGCGGAGCTTCGCTTTTCTTTCGTGGGCGGAGCTTCGCTCAACGCGGGGTGCTTATTGGACACGAGTGCTGCATCGGCGTTCGGCTGGGGCTCGTGTCCAATACGAGTTCCAGCCGAACGTTGACGTATAGCGTCGTGTCCAATACGTGCCCCGCGTTGGCCCTCGGTATAGGCGACGTAGAAAATTAAGCGCTACGGCTTCCTGTCTAAGGCGGTGCTGTGTAAGCACGTCGGTCGGAGACATATGTTCCCGATACCGTGTACCGTATGGCACCTTGCTGGCGTGGCTGCCCTGCAGGGAGCTAGAAGTAACATTTGGAAGCACGGAGCATTAATTCACTGATGGCTGAGTCGATGACATCGATCCGACGGTTCACCCCGCGGCATTCAGCGACGACGAAGGGGGGACGGGGTGCGAGGGGAAACGTGATGTTGGACGACCAAAGATTGCCCGGAGCTATACGTTTTAACAGCCGATTACCGGATTTGTTTCTGCCTAACGCCTCGCAAAAAAAGAAAAAAAAAAGAGGCTAAATTGTTGCCGAAGTCGTTGCGCAGACTCTTGTTGAGATGCGATAGCATTTTTCACCGTCTTGTATACTTCGTGAACGTTTCTCGATTAAACTGCTTACGAACTGCCGTGGAAGTTCTATATGGTTAGTTTTCGTCGACGTCCACGAAGTCTGTTAGCGCACTGAAGGCCAATTCACTCGATTTTCTGACCTAGCGGCCTCCTTCTCGCGGACTGATCCCGGGACCAGCAAACAACTTTTCTTTTAGTATTACGGCAACTTGGATGCCTCTTACTCTCTCTCATACGATATGCATAGAAACGTAATATGCATCTAACACATAATAAGATCCTCCGTAATTGTATTTGCCGTTCAGTAGCTAATGTACCACATTAATTATATGCTTAAGCCCCCCCTCCCCCACCCTCCCTCCCCTTTATGTATAATTGAAGTAGGTATACTACACAATAGGTGTCCGCCGTGTGCTTGGTTCTTGACAAGCCAATGTGCGAAAGTGTGTGAAGGGCTCTCCTAAATGTTAGAAGAAAAATAAAAGACACATCAAATACATCCTTGTAATGGAGGCTTTTGGGGAGCCGTTTTGCAGACGATCGACCAGATGGCGTTCGTTGAGACGCCGTCGGCGCGTGAGCCCGGACGGTTGGCCAGGCACCGCACGCGCATGCGCAATAGCGATGGATCGTTTTTCGGATCGGTCGTCTGCAAAACTGTGTACGATTGTGCGGTCTCACAGAGTAAGCCTGAAGTCTTTCTACCATTAAAAAATATTGTATTAAAAAAACTATGACAGATAGAAACACACAGAAGTTTCGTGCGTTACAAAAATCGACTCATTGAAACAACATGACGTCAGCAAAGAAAAAAAAAAGCTTTTTTTGGTTTGTCTAATACCACAAAAGTAAATAGCCGATGAGAGTGCAACGACAGTTCAGAAACGAGTGTGGTGGATGCGATCCCGTCAGATGGTGAAAGCGTCAAAAGTGCTGTATGCAGAGTTCAAAGAGATTGGAGATGTGGGTGGCATGCAAAGAACTGGTGGGCGTAGCTCGAATGAAATAGACTATTCGCGTTTTGCCGCTTTTCGACGCGATCGTGACAAGTCAGCTCTTCGCAAATAACGCGTGAAATGTGCACAGATATTTTCCATACTCATTTCTGAACTTTTGTTGAACTGTCTCCGGCGACTTGCGTTTTTAATACCACCGACCGAAACGCGTTTTCTTCCTCGCTGAAACCCTCTTGATACTTAGTTGAAACGGCTGATCACAGCGCCATCTAGAACGAAAAACAACGCACAGTTTTTTCTTCCGTTGTTGGCGAGTGTAATGCATAATGCGCGTTACATAGTATACAGGTAACCGTCGTGCTGAACGACGCGCTTCGCCCGTCCGTCCGTCCGTCCCCTAACCGTTCCACTGCTTGTAAACAACCCCTAGAACAGCAGCAGGAAGATGAATACCTTTACTGAGGAGCATATAAAAGGAAATCCCAAGTATAACCCCCCGCTGGCGAGCGAGAGAGCCCGCGCGCGCTCCGACGATGGAGACGGTACACGCTTTCTGCATCCCTAATTGTTTCTATTCCCCGAGAGCCCGCTGCGAGGGAAATAAGGGAAACCCATAACCGATTCCCGAGGGGACTCTGTTTACGCATTCTGCGGGGATAAAAGGGAGCGCGACTTAGAAAGCGAGCTCGGGAGAGACGCCGTTTCACGTGCGCGTAATCGCCTCTCAAAGACGCGGCCGCCCTCCGTATACGCGTCTTCAACGGGCGTCTTCGTTCGGCGTGCACGGGGAACCGGTCACGCGCGTCCCTGATGGAAATTTTACGTCTTGAACGATCCGTGCGAACGCATCTGGAGCGCGCGTGCACGAGCGCGTGTATGGAGGGAAACCGAAGCGATGGAATGGGCCTCGGCAGTCCCGATCTACGGTTTTCTTTCTCGCGTGCCAACCGTTTCTTCCGCCGGATCAAAGTGTTTTCTCCTCCCTGTATTCTCCCTATACCCTTTTGTCTAGTTTGTTTGTTGACGACGCCCACCAACAGCCACGTGGCTTACCAGTTCTACATCGCAACACACACACACGCACACAAAAAGCACATCGAGTATTCTAACACTATACTATGTATATATAGATATCGGTGTGGTCCGTATTGCGATGCGTTCCTAAGTGCTTCACGTTTGGTCTTTTTTAGCGTTTTCTTGCGTGTGTTCGCGTATTGCCTGTTTGGTGTGCAGGATCTAAACCGAGTTTCTTTAGCAACGTTTCAAGGTGATGCGCGTGTACCATTAGGGTTGGTTTCGTTTTCCTGGCGTGTACCCGATGCGAAGGGAGAAAAAAAAAAAGTACACCCGCGTTCGGTGTGGTTCCAACAGCAGACTATGTTTTAACCATGTTCAAACCTTCCAGTCGAGTCGATTCCTTTCTCTAAGAGGTAAGGGGGTGCTCCTTTTCTAGGTCGTGGTCTTTCACTGAAACTCGTGAACGGTCTTCGAAACCGCAAACAACGGTGTCACTGTTTGATCGTGTCCCGTGTTTGTTGGTTGCGATGGGCGTCTGGGACTCCACCGACCCGACGCCAATACGTCACTTCCGTGACCATTTAAAATGTACATGTGAATGTACAACCTAGCCCCCCCCCCCCCCCCCCCCCTGGTGTCTCTCATGTAGATGAGAAAGTTAGCCAGTACAGTGCCACTGTTTTCTTGCACAGGAGCTGGAGTGACGTCAGAGTGACGCCGAGCTATGATTGGCTCTGGTGGCGAGGATAGTGGGTAGATCTTAATGTTAGATGCCTCGGGGTCTACCCTCTATTTTCTTCAATCAGCCAATAAGAGCTCGGCGTTCTGGCATTATCGCAATTCCTGCGCAAGAAGCAAACGAACTTGGGCTCCGCTTCACGTTCATCACGCAGTAGAGATACACGACCGCACGCTGGTACGACGCTCATCCAGATCGAAACGGGCAGATATAGAAGATGTTGGCGCTGTGTTCACAGTGCCTAATACTCTTTTCCACTTGTAGCAAAAAAAAAAAATAGATAGGGACAATAAAATATGGTATGTAACTTCAGCACGGTATCTATACTCCGTTTACCCCTAAGCTGACAGTACGGTGGAAGATATACCCTGCGCGACACTTAGTGCAAGCAAGCCCGATCGAGGATATTTTTCTTCTTCAATTGGGGTGGGCTGTCATCAAAACTGCACTGGTGGAAATTTGATCATTTACAAGTAGAGTTTCGTGTTTTGTTTTGTTGTTTTTTTCATATTGGGGGGGGGGGGGGGTCTTTTGTGTGTGTGTGTGGGGGGGGGGGGGGGGCATTTGTTTTCACAGATTCGGTGTTTTTGTGTGAATTGGTTATTACTAACAAATTTACACAAAGACACCGAATTTGTGGAAAATTATAAACCCCGAAAAAAAAAAGACAATACCCGAATTCGAGAAAAAAATTAACACCGGTAAAATTCTATGTCCCCTAATACCCTTTCGAAGTAAAGTGCGAAAAAAACCCTGATATTTTATTTGTGCTAATAATAGCGAGGCTTATATTACGTATGCGAGCGAACGCAAGCACCGTACGTTTGTGTTAACGTGGCGTCTCCACACAGCGCGTGCGCGAAGACCAAACTGCGGTCTTAAATTGACGCACGGGGACGACGCGTCAATTTAAAACCGCAGTTTGCGTGTCTCACGCGCATGCGCTGCGTCAAATACGCAACGCTAACGCAAACGCGCAGCGCTTGCTCCCGTGCGCAATACTCTTATACTGTCTCGGAGTGTGCGTACTCGCCGGACCCATCATCCGCCTCCCTTTCATGAAAGATAGAAGTACGACTGGTCCAACGACCACCTATAAGTGCTCGTCGGACCATTTGACAGTGAGGTACGTAAAAGGTGTACGCTTCCAACGCACTATCAACTTAGTGGTGAACGGAGTTTTATTAAAAATAAACCTTCAGCCCCGATGTGTTATGGGACGATCTCAGCCCTTCAAACCCCTTCAGCCCATCAGACCCTTCCGCTCTTCAGACCTTTCAGCCCTTTGAGTCTTTCAGACCCTCTGAGCCTTTCCTCCCTTTAGATGTCGAAATGACTGTTTACAAACAAGCCCGCGTTTGGCCAAACCAGATTCACGTGAAACATCTGCGCTTGCGCGGCGCCGACAGCAGCGCCTCCGCAGTGCCGTGACGTCAGAGAGTGGAGTAAAAGCGTCTCTGGGCGTCCTTTGTGCGTGCAGATTCTCCGCGAGCGGGTCCGGACGTGGGAGGCGCACCACGCGGTGGTGTGGAACAGCCACCCGGGGGCCCTGCTCACGCTGCCGTCCTTCTCGGACACCCTGGCACCCTTGCCCTTCCACCGGCACTCCCCGGGACACTGCCCGGAGGTGGCCACCCGGCGGCGGAACAGCTTCACGGCGGTGGTGTACGCGGCTCTGCCCACGATCCAGCCGCTGCAGCGCCTGCTCAGGGCCATGCTCCGCTCCAAGTACCTGGCCAGGGCAAGTTGGTCTCTCACTCGCGCAGTCCGGTCTTTTAATCGAGGGTGTTCCGGGCTATACACCCCTTTTGAAAGTGTGCTCCGTGTTGGAAGCTGCACAGTGACAGGTACAGGAGACGCCGCCAAAGCTGGAACACTACTAGTGTTACTACACACGTTTACAAGTACGGCCTCAGGGAGCCGCCATCTTGCTCGCTTGGGGAGTGCTTGGGCGCATCATCATCCGATTACGACGCCTTAGGAGAATTCTGGGTCCGTACACCTACGTTCCCAGAATTCTCTTTGATGCTTGCTTGATTTAGCGAAATATCTAGTCTATATTAACTCGAAAATTATTGGGCTAGGCAATAAAGTTCTAAGTAATAACGGCAAAACTTAAATGCTTCGAATCAGTTACATTTAGAGCTCTGCATCGGCCTCAGATTTTTATCGGGAAACGCCTCGGCTCCTCCCGTTTTAGACCTTTTCTGGGCCACGCCTTTACTCGGGTCTATTCGTATAAAACTTTGGCGTCCGGAACGACGTTACTAGATCAAGGTCAGTTCACTCGCTCCCTAGAACGACTGACGCCTTTTTCGTGACGCGTCCGCTCGGTGGCGCTCGCTGCGCTCTTAGCCCAGAGGTCTGTATCAGCACGGTTGTGGTCAGAAGCGGCGGAACCGGTGGAACGTTGGATGCACGCTGTCTGAGGTGGAAAGTGATTTTAATGTGATTTCTACTGAAAAATAAAAGTTTCCGCGAAAGTTTGCGTAAACAGAGCTTCGCACGTAGAAGGGTTTTCCGCGGTCGCATGTGGGAGCGGCAGGGAGCGGTGCCGCTGGTGGCGCGGAACGCTATCCGCCCGTGTCCGCGCGCACCTGCCCGCGTGCGGGTGGTAGCAGAGAACGACCGTTTTCGAACGTCGCCCTTTTCCGTGCAGCTTGTCGACTGAGAGATCTGAGAACGGTGGCTTGGAACGCTTCTCTGACAGAGGTGTCTCCGACGTTTTTTTAAACCAACTTAGTAAAACTAATAAAAAAAAGCGCTTAGCATTGCTACTTACATAACAATGGTGACATTGCTAAGTTAGACTAGACTCCGTGTCAACTATGCTGAACCTAGTAGGTCTACAGCCCTTCCACGTGCGCAAAAAGATGACCAGATTGAAGTTTTTCTTTTTTTCATTAGCTGTATTTCTATAAATTAACCTCGAAACAATTCGAAATTCTCGAACGCATCAAACGCGACACAAACACTCACAATCTGTTCAGCCACTTTTTTGCGAAAGCTAAGAGATATCTTTTTTTTTTTTTTTTTTTTCACAAACACGATTAACGATTGGGAGGGATTACCTCCCACAGCTTGTCAACATGACGACGCCTTTTTGAAGAGTATTTCCATACCTTGAGCAGGGTTGCCATGTAGTTTCTAGCTTAAACCGCCAAATGCCAGACGGTGTCGCCCAAAAGTAGCCAAATGCAAGGTATTTATGTAGCCCAAAAGTAGCCATATTCTGCAGAGCCCAAAATATCGTGCGCTGGAATGTGCGAGCTAAATTCAAAGGCACTGCGTCTGCATATCTGGGGTTTAGGAGCAGCTTGCGAAATCTACGACATCTTGAATTGTATTGAACGTTTTATGTCAAACACAAAAGTACAACAATTTTCCACACGTGTTTTTACAGTCGCATAGTTATGAAGCACTCGCTCGTGCACGGCTTACTCGCCTCATATGACTTCCGTGTTAAAACGGGCAAAAACTTCTTCAGCAGGGTTCGTGTCCTTACAGCACTCGTTCTTCCTAAGAAAAGCAAACTTTACATAGAGGACGTTTCGAAGAGTTGGAAGGGACATATTTTTTTTAGGCCTGACTTTGTGAGGGACACGTGACTGAATACCCTCTCCACGGCGGCATTCCACATGGGCAGTGTCGGGAGCGCGATGGCAAGCTCGGATAGCAACGGAAACAGGGCTGCTCCTGCGCATCGATCTTGGCCTTGTTCGGAATATTCATTGTCCCAAATCTGTTGTCTTTGGTTATGGCTCATTGTGCTTTAAGAAACTTCAACGATTCGCTAAAAAGCCTCCGTCGACACATGCGGTACAGTACGCGTTATCAGCCGACATCAAATTCTGCAGGATGTATTGAGTGGCCTTTTAGTGTCATTTTTCCTCGGATGAGGTGCCTCCTGTAGGAGGATGGTGGGTAACTCGAGAAAATAGGAGACGCCGGTAGGAAGCAGAAAGAACTTGGGAGCGTCGGAGCTGAATCCAGGTCACGGTAGCTCATGCCCACGCATTTTCACGCAGAAGATCCCTGAAAGCGGGAATCCAGAAAGGGTGGACGGTCGGTTTGTGTCCATGCTGAAGTGTTTTTTGTATACCTACACTAAACCAAGCAAAACAAAAATGGCCGCGTTAGGATGCGGAATAGCCCAAAAACGCCACATAGCCAACCGCCAGATTTCGACGCCAAATGCATGACAAGGTAGCCCAATTTGGTTATTAATAGCCCAATTTGGCAACCCTGGCCTCGAGGCTAGGTGGCGCAAGCTACCGCCCGTTACGAAGGGTAGAGCCATTAACATCCATCCATCCATCCATCCTTTGTGTAAACTGAGGGAAAGGAGGAGACGAGAGAGGACGTCTGAGGGCCGAGCTCTGATTGGACTGATTAGTGGGTACACCTGAAGCTCGCTGCCTTCGTCTCCACTGCACTGGTCGAACGCATTCAAAGGCGGTAGCCAAGTGAGCGCGTCCGACTGGTGCGGTGGAGGCAAAGGTGCCAATGCTTGATTCCAGTGCTTGGATCTGTACTTGAAGGTTATTTCCGGATGTCTGCAGGTATTCGCTTTGTGTTGGACATGCACCGTAATAATATATGTTATTTTTTTTTAAATATTTTATACCGGTGCATAAAAAAGTGTTGTTTGTTTTATTGATTACGCACCCCTCCTGTTTGGAGTGCCCTAGGGTCTGCTGCTGTGTCCTAAAATACAAATACGAATGCACCATTGACTCACCCAAGTTCTCGGGTGAACCCGTGGGGTACCCCAAGGAGAAAGCCAACGAGGTTTGCACTTCCCACTGGGTCTGAATGGTCCGCGAGCGAAGTGGGGCTGCGATATGATTTCGCGTGGAAAAAAGGAATGGGGTTCGGGGTGCCCTTTCGCCTGACCCGATTATTTTTGCCTCCCGACGAAAAAAGGGAAAAATCGAGTGCTCGCTAAGGTCTCGGGTCGCTCTTAGACTCGTTGCTCTTAATTTCCGGTTGTCGTTGGAAGATCGCCGTTTCTTTGTCCTTTTTTTTTGTGTGTGTTCTTTTTTTTTTTTTTTTTTTTATCTTGTTCGTCGCTGCTTGTCTCCCTTTGTCTCCATCTTCTATCTCGGTGCATCTCGTCGCATTTTTGTTTGCTTATATTTTTGTTTCTGTATTTTTTTCCGCTTGTCAGGTCAATTTTGTTTGTTTTTTTTCGATTATTTTTTTTTCTCCACCGCGGCAGGTGTAGATATTTTTCTCTTTTTTTATTCTTTCTTTCTTTTAGGTATTGTCTTTCTCGTTTCGAATAAGATGGGATTATTTTCCCGACCTGGAGGATAGTCGCGCGCGCGCGTGTTCTCGCTGCCGAACAAAGAATTGGTTTCCGCGGCTTTAGACTCTCAAATGGATTTCTAAAGGGTCGGAATGGAGTAATACAAAAAAAAAAAAAAAAAAAAAGCTTTTTTTTTATTTTTTGCATTTGGTGTATTTGGTTTTTTTGCTTTCTGAATTTTATTTGCCTGCTTGATTTTTTTTTTTTTTTCTTTTGCTTGAGAGAGTTGTTTTGACCTTACCCGTAGTGAGGTCGCATAATTTGGAGTTTAATCCATCCGCCGCAAACATACGTGATTGGTTTTAGATGGCAACGCGCACATCGGGCTTTCCGTATTTATTTATATATATATAATTTTTTTTTGTTTGTTTGTTTCATCCACTTGGCAAATACTTTACGAAGGAAATACATCAGATTCCGCGAAAATCGAACCAGTTCCTGCAGATAGAAGGGGGGTGTTTTCCTTGAGCTCGTGTGTCAGGTGGGGAAGCCAGCTTCTGGGGTATGATGAAAAGGCGTGCGTGGGAGAAGCCGTCTTTCAGGTCCTACTCAGCTGGTTATTTTTATTTTCATCACTGGTGCCGTTTCCGATGTCTCGTTGTCCGCTTGTTTTTATCTGCGCTACGCAGTGCTGGCGAAAGAGGTATAAACAGTTATAAAATTTACCATCGCACATTGCAGAGATCAGTAATTGCACAATCAACTTGTGAATGTGGAAAATATAACCATTAACCATGTGAGGTTTAATATGATCTGCAATGGACTCGCATAGCATCTGAACCCGGGGACATAAAAAAATATTAAGACTGTCACGATGGACCTTTGCTGTGTCTATTTTTTGTTCATGTGTGGTTTAAACTCAACTCATGTTGCCATTTGATTAATTTGCTTCTTGCCTACACACTAGTTTGCATTTAACACAAATTGATTTGTCTCTAAATTTCTATACAATTTTAATAAATAGGTCGATGGCACATAATATGTCTTTGACATGTTTCACTTTCAAGGCACTTAAAAAGTATCTCAAGACATACTGCAGATGATCTTGCTCTTATTTAAAAAAAAAAAAAACATATTTTTTGTTAAACATTACTTTGGATTGCTAGGAGGTTCGTCTGATTATAGTATTTTACAAAAAAATGGATGGGTGAATTTGTTTAGCAAGACATGTACTTCAGACACTGGTCAAGCCAAATGTCCAATATCTGTCCTCATTATAATTTATTATAACACGGAAGGACAATGCTGAAACAGAATCATTTTGTAGAAAGCTAGTAGCAAGTCACACAGGTCAATCAGTGCCTTGTGGCAAATTGGTTCTATGATGAAAACATCTCTCGAAGGTGTAACATTAATCCAGATAAAATTAGATGCATTTCTTTGCTATAGGTCAAGGTAAAAATTTCTCTATGCCAAAGGCCTTTTTTCGCCAAGTAAAGAACAGCGACATTTTCTGATGCCCCCCATAAGTTCAGTCCACTCAAGAAAATCACCTTGGTGAACTCTTGAAACATTTGATGTAATCCAGGTATTGAGTATATTTATGCATTCCTGAACAGTTGTTTTAAATTATTGTTTCAGATTTCTCTTTTTAGCTTTCTTCTTCATTAATTTCCCACCCCAGATTGGGTACCGAATGGGGTGAATGCCATGTTGGGTGTCCGGTAGGGGTGTTCTACATTTGGTACCCCAGATTGTGCATAAACGTGGTACACTCCACGTTCAGCACCGAATGTGGTGAATCTCATGTTGGGCGCCCATAATGGTGTTCTACATTTGGCACCCCACATTCGGCACCAAATCTTGTTATACCACGCTCTGCACCAAATGTGGTGGATCCCACGTTGGATGCCCAGTTGTGGTGTCATACACTGGGCACCCCACATTTGCACCCCCCCACTGGGCACCAAATGTGGTTTTTTAAGCTGTTGTCTGAGAGGAACCTATGGTGAGAGTTTGCTAATTAGTCTAAAGTATTTTTCTTAAAAGCAAAAAACTGTGGAAGACAAAGCACAACGAACGTGACACGTGCAAGATGGTTCCTTACCGACCACCTGGTCGGCAAGGAACCAACCGACAGGGTGGTCAATCCAATTAGCATAGGTGGTATTCACAATCCTGCCCCCATCTACGTGGATGGAGGCAAGGCGGTGGAGACGCAGAGTGCAGAGCACCATCGGCAAACCAGGCAAACACGGAAAATTGTACTCCCGTGCACTCCTCCGTACGAGACGGGAGTAGGCCCGCTTGCGCCCGGAGAACCAGCTCGATACTGGCCCTCTCGCCTCTCCGTCGCCACTTGGACAACTATGATCGGCCAGGAAGCCCTCCACTTCGTGTCAAGGATACGCTGGAGAAACCAGCCAAGGCCGCACCCATGACAACAGAGCACGATTCTCCCTCCTCAAAAACCACCCAGATGTCTGCTGGCTGTGCCAAGTCCCAATAATTCATTAGGACGCCCAGCAGGCCCGCCGCCAACATGGAGAGTTTCAAAGAGGTTGGGCCGCCCTGCCTGCATAGCAGCCGCTGTACAAGTATTTCGCCGAAACCAGCCAGACTTTCTGGCTTCAGCGGCCCTCGGCACCGATCAAGTCCCAAGGCTGACCATCACCAAGAGTCCCGCCCCCGACCAACTTTGGGAAAACATATTCATCGCCGAAGACCTGGCCCCCGGCTTCTGCACCGAATGCGCACTGCTACCACAGGTGCCGGCCCCCCGACCGACAGCTTCGGCCCAATCAGCCCCCACCGTCGTCAGCAACGCCGAGATGGACGAGCTTGAAAGACTTCTCACCAACGACGTAGAGATGCCCGACGTCCCAGAAAAGCCCCGGCACCTCAGGCTTGAGGGGGGGGGAGGTGTGAAAGATGAAGCACAAAGGACTTGGCACATGCAGCGAGATGGCGCCGTCAAACACCAACGGCAAAATAAAGACAATGGAAAGATGGCAAAAGGCTCGAGAGTTGAAGGCTCGTGAGGAAGGTGGAGCAAGCGTAGCACGGGCGAGTGGCAGCTGAGACGGCGTGGAGAGCGGTCATCAAGGGGCGGAGAAGCACCCAGGCAGAAGAAAGCAGGGACCAAAATCGAAAGACGAGCCCGGTGAACGAGAGGGCGGAGACACTCAGCAGGCAAGACCCCCCGGAACCTGAGGCAACTGCTGTAGAGCCACTTAGTATCATAATACCTTTTTAACGATAACGTTGTCCCGCCTGGTTTCCTCGGAAGTGAACAGAACGCGGTCTGATCGGGCAGTATACACGAAGGGCCCACAAAACCAATTTGTTGTTCATGTTTATACAGCACGTCAGTCTGTCTTTGAGGTGCAGCAGCACTGGTTTACGCTGTGTAAGAGAAAAATTTAGCCAGTGCAGTGCGACCGCTAGCCTGGGGTCTTTAACGTGCACCATGCAGTCATGATACACGATCGCGCACCGGTACGATGCTTATCCAGAGCGAAACGGGTAGGGTTGGGGTTTGAACCCAGGATCCCTGGGTTCTGCAGCGCGACCTTTCACTCCACATGTGCCAACATGCTCAGCCGCCAATACTTCCTAGGTGCCAATCCTCCCAAGGTTTTTACTATCCTTCTTTCATGCTGCCCTTGTTTGTCCCTTGTTTCCCACACTCCTTAGGGCTTGTTTGGAAAAAAGCGAAGAAGCAATGGCCTTTGCCTTCTCTGACGTCCCATTCTCCCGACCGCAGGTCTTGGTGGTGTGGGGAAGCGAGCTTGCGGCACCCTCTGCCTCCAAGCTGGTGGCCGGCAGCGGGTCGAGCCGTGTGCCCGTCCACGTGGTGGTGCCCCCCCGCAGGGGTATTGGGTCCCGCTTCCTGCCCCATCCGCTCATCGAGACAGATGCCGTGCTGGCGCTCGACGAGGACGTGGCGCTGAGCTCAGAAGAGGTCTGTACATACTAGATTTTCGGCATTTTCGGCTAAATTACACAGCAGCAGCTGGAAATGGATGCTGCTCATGCTGGAAATCAGAAATTCCAGCTTGGAAGTACATGATTCACCTGGAAGTTTCCCAGCTAGATATGGAAAAATCTAATTTCCAGCAAGAAATTTATCCACTTCTGGGTGGAAACAGCCTGGAATTCGGCTGGGAAAATAGATTTCCAGCTCCAGCCGTAGTCGATTTCCGGTTCCATAACACAGCCTGGACTGGAAGCATTTCTATGTGGGACCCTTAAAAGCAGGTGGTAGGTTACGCCACTGAGCCTGAAAACTTTAAAAAGAAACATGATCCCTTCCCTCTTATGCCAATGCATTCCTGTAACTACTATCACCAAGCCATGTGGATTATCGCCAGGATGACTTTTTGAGGGATCGCGCAAAGAAAAGCCTCTAAAATCATGCATCCCCTGCCTCCTCCCCTCTCGGCGAGGGAGTCACCAATTGTCTTCTGGTCAAACCTGGTCGGTGTCACCCCGACACTGGACCCATTGGGCAATAGGGTTGGGACTTTGGGCCGAAGCCATAGGGGGGGTTCCGTTTTAACCCGTTTCACTTTATTCAATTTTCCCTCGTAGTTTTTTTTCTCATCTTTGTGCTTATAATCATGGTTGCCAGCTACCCAAAGGCTTATCTGAAATTGCAGAAAATGCCTTAACGTCCTCCAGAAATCTTAAAACAGTTTGCGGCAGAGCAAGACGATATTGCCCGAGCTTCCAAGCTCAGTGTCCAAATCTGAGAAGATCGTATTTTCGAGCTGCAATGGTTAGATCAACAATTGCACCTGCACCATAATAGCAGCGCCCACACGAAAACCGAGGAATGGATTGCCAATACAATAGTTTTAATATAATAATCTAGAGGGAAAGGTCCCATGCATTGCGGCCGCTTCGGAACAGCAGTGCTTGGACGTGGACAACAGTAGTCCCATCGGTGGTCCTGATGGGCTCAAATCATTGGAGCTGCTTTAATATACACAAAAAAGCAAGAAAGCAGCACTCGCAAGCTCTGTTCTAATTGTTTTTCTCGCTTTATTTTTTACTGATTTGGCAAAAAACATCGGCATCGTGCTTTGTATAAAAGAAATAAAGCCGGCAAAAGCTCGAGCAACCCCGTGTCGTCGCGGCAAAATGAACAATACCCAACTTTTCGTCTGCTTTTTTTTTCAGCTCTTCTCTATCGCTCTCTTTCTCATTCTTTCTCTCGGGATTACCGATGTCGGCGGTAGAGAGTTGCCGCATTCTGCTAGCTCCTGGCTTTACCCCCTGGCCAATACTCTAAGCATACCTTAGTCCAGTGGTTCTCAACCATTGATGTTTTGTCGACCCCTGTGGATCGGCAGAAATGATGGAGGATCCCATTTATGGTTGAGGAAGGGAAAGTTTTAAGTTGATTATGATTGTGATTTAAATAAATGTATATAACCAAGGGCTAGGGTGAAGTTGACTTCTCTCATTGACACACAAAAGAAAACGCAGACCCCCATTTGAGAACCACTGCCTGAGTCAGTGGCTCGAGCAGAAACCTCTCTAGCACTTAGATGAAAAATGCCGGGTTGCTGGGCTGTTGGCACATGTGTGGCAACTGATATTACGTAGAAGAGAGGTACTGGCACATGCTCGCAGTGCATTTCAGAGTTCAGTGGACAAAGCTGGCAGTGCGCAGGAGGACATTTTTTGTGACGGTTTGTAGTCGCCGTCTATCCGCATTAACCACTCTGCAGGAGACGGAAGCGTTGTCCGTGTTCACCGAACAAAAAGAATTCATTATTTTATAAAGACTAAAAATGGCCAAAAGTTGAATGGGAATCATTAGGACTTGCACAAATAAATCCATAATATTTGTTTTTAGGAGAACAGACCCTAATCTTTTTTTGTAGAGTCATAATTGTGCAGAATGTATTCTGGTTAGCCTGTATGTATGCATGTACATGTTTAGTTTTGTCTTGGGTCGTTTGCACATACACATACACGTTTATACAAACTCAGCTTATATCTTCTTTTTTTTCCTATTAAAATTAACTGGAGCCTTTTGCATTAGATTTAGTGGGAAAACTTCCCCACTGTGCTAGATTTAGCATTGAACGCTGTTTCCTGATGTGCACTCTGTGAGACTATTAACACAAACATGATTTTGGTGGTTTTTTTTTCACATTTTACTTTAAAAGGTACTAGCAGGCATCAAAATTCACGCGTTAGCTCATGAACTGAGCACTTTCCACCACTGTAGCAGTTTTGATGGCAATCCTTCAATACTGAGCAGAAAAGTGTAGAAAACAGGCGATGGCTTGTTCGCACTAACAGTGTTGCTGTGTGCACATGCATAATGTTCCAAAGGGCAAAACGAGCCTTGTAACAGGTTCTGCCATAAGAATTAATTACGAGGGAGTGCCTACCGTACGCAAGCCGCTGACATGCTTTTAAAGGGGCCATATATCCGTGATTTTCGCTCAGTAAATTTTCTCGTGTGGCTCTTCATTTTTCAGAAAACTATGCGAAACTATACCCGAAAAATCTTCCCATTTCTGTAATGGGTTTGTCTTATGCAGAGTGCGAGTTTGTCTGCCTCTTGCACAGTGGTTGCGATGATGTCAGAACGCCGAGCTCTTATTGGCTGATTGAAAAAATAGTGGGTAGACCTCAAGACATTTAGCATTGAGGTCTACCCACTATCCTTTCAATCAAAGCCAACCAGAGCTGGGCATCGTTCTGACATCACCGCAACCCCTGCGCAAGAAGCAGATAGCTTGCTCTCTGAAATCTGTTCATACTTGTGCTTGAGGGTTTATAGCGCTGACATATTCACCTTACCTGCCTGATTTGAATCAAAGATTTCTAGCCTATCGAAAGAAACCAGAACTGCGGCAAAATAAATTGTAATGACGGACGTCATTTACCCACTAAAGAGAATGCCGCCCGCTGGAGCGGTGCTCAATCGCACGTGTGATCCATTCTTCTCCCTTTTTCTCTCTCTCTCTCGTGCTCGTAGAGACAATTCTTGGCAAACTTGCTGGCAGTAGATTAGCAAGCGCGTCTCGCCCTACCCTCGGTCTTTTCAGATGGACTTTGCATTCCGAGTGTGGCAGTCCTTCCCCGAGCGCATTGTGGGCTTCCCTGCTCGCTCCCACTACTGGGACGACACCAAGGCGGCCTGGGGCTACAGCTCCAAGTGGACCAATGAGTACTCCATGGTGCTCACAGGTGCTGCCTTCTACCACAGGTTAGTGGACGGCGCTGGATTTCCAAATCATCACTAGTATAGGGCAGTTTCGCGAAGCACCTTTAAACTTCCGGAGGCATGCGGTTTAGAGAAGCTCGTTTTATTGAACGCCGGTTTACCCACCCCTGTTTATCGAATGCCTTTATACAGAAACCCAGTTTATGGAAAATGGAAAGAGCCTCGTTTTAGTGAATTTGGCCACCACGAAGCTGCATGTACAGGTGGGCCAGGTGTGTTAACATTTTTGTAATGAGCCGCCCCTGACTCGTCACGAAGCGGCGTAAATGGGGGGGGGGGGTAGGGGTAGGGGTAGGGGTAGGGGTAGGGGTAGGTAGGTAGGGTAGGTAGGGTAGGGGATCTGGGGGGTTAACATGCGCTTTAGTGATACATGCGCGAAGTAGGGAAACCTTTATTCAAACAGCATCTGCTTTTCGATAAAAGGTGTTTCTCCAAACTGAGGCTCTGCTTTCTCCAAACCGAACTTTGATAAAACGTGCCTGTTCTCTAAAACGTGTTTCAATAAAACGGCGTTTGATCAGCCTTAATAAGCCCCTTCACTTCCGGTAAGTCACGTCCCGCCATGTTGATGAACTGCGCCCGCCATTTTCCCCGCTAGTTTGCACGCAGACGCTTGGTGGTCGGCAACGTTTTTGTCATCGGCGAAATGCACGAGAGTGGCAGCGGCTTCGTCGACGACGGTACTCATCAAGTACGACGAAGGACGTACTTAGGTTGCATAAATCCCCGCTTACTAAGCTTCTTTTTCGTTCGAAGTCACCCTGACGGCGTCTACCGGGAGCTTCGTGGCCGCCACCCGATCTACTTCTCGATCGTCCGCTCTTCTTGAGCACGAATAAAGACCGACGCGTATAAAAACCGAGCACCGTGCCGTTGCTCTTTCGTGTCTTTTGCGTTTTTGACTATTCTGGCTGGCCAGTTCATCACAGCATGAAAGTCTGAAAAAACTGCTTCTGCGCGTGGAAGGACACAGGGCGAAGTTGGTCGACACGGTGCTTGGCGAGATTTTTTGAACCGGAAGTACTATGCCACACGAAACAGCCCTACACTTGTTTCCATCTTAAGAACCACAGTGTGCTTGCACTCCCCTCTCCTCCCTTCTCTCCCAATGCATAGGAACAGGGCCGGCCTGCGTAGTAGGATAGGAACTGCATATTAGTAGAACAATCTAGTAGGTGTAAAGGCATTTCGTGGCCAGGTTGTACGTGCGGTGGCATTTGGGAGAAAATGAAACGTCCCCAAAGTAGAGGTGCATGGACGGAGGAGAAAAGTCCTTACTACATTTGCAATTTCTTCGCCGCATGTATCACTCCAGTACACAGCATGAATATCACTTCCATATCGAGTGTTGCTTTCAAAAACCCAATCAAGCGCTATGTCACCTTTGTCCAGACTTGTACAAAATACTCAAAAAAAGTATTTAAGTAAAGTTAACTGAATACCAGGCTAAAGAGTATCTGAGTGGAGTACTAAATACTCATAAAGGTAACTCTTTGCTTTCAAGATACCCTCAGGTTACAAATTGTTATAAGAGGCAAAAAAAAAATAAGAGGAGTTTTAGGGAACAGGTTGCCTCCTCCCTCCAATCAGTGTGAAAGAAAAGATGTCCTCTCGCCCCCACCCTTCACCCAGGGGGGCCCCATATCGGAGGGTTATCTTGGGTGGAATGAAAAAAAAACGCTAGTAGGTGGGAGAGGGAACAAGCTTCTTTGTGCTAACGGGGGCAAAAGACAGGCTGCCACGGACACAAAAGTGATGTCTCCGGAACTGAATCTAGCTGACCGTCGACCTTCTTCCGGAAAAAGGCGGAAATAACATACAAGTAACTTAGAAGTGTGCACGAGTTATTGGCATAAATTATCTGTTAGAGTAACGACTACTGATTTTCGAAAGTATTTGCAAGATACCAAGTTACTACCCAAAATATATAAGATACTGCAATTCGAGCAGAGTATCTAAGTTACGCACAAGTCTGCGCTTTGTCCCGTTCGAAGCAACGTCAAATGCCGGGCGACTTTCTTTCTCCCCGCCGCCGCAGGTACTACCAAGAAATGTACTCAAGGTGGCTCCCAGAGAGCCTCCGCCAGACGGTGGACGCGGCCCACAACTGCGAGGACATCCTCATGAACTTCCTGGTGAGCCAGGTGACGCGGCTACCCCCCATCAAGGTGACGCAGCGCAAGCAGTACCGCGAGGCCGCCACCTCTCCGGCGACCGCGTACCCGTCGCCCTGGAACGACCCGGACCACTTCGTCCAGCGCCAGGCCTGCCTCAACACCTTCGTGACCCACTGGGGACACATGCCCCTCGTGCGATCGGCACTCCGACTGGATCCCGTGCTCTTCAGGGACCCCGTGTCGAACTTGAGGAAGCGGTACCGCCGCATCGACCGGGTCGTCGGAGGCGGAGTGGGGAAGAGCTGAGTTGTCGTCGGTTCATGAATGGTGCCAGGAGTGGCGCCGGTCTCCACTTCGGGAGCCGTGGCGCCAGTTGCGGCCCCGCCATCCCGCTCGCTCCGAGAGCCGTCCCAAAGAATGGAGTCGTCAGCGGAACTCGAACTTCGTCGGGGGAAGTCGAAAGCGAGAGACACGTCGAACTTCTCCCGTGTGTTTGGACCCGTGGTGCGTGTCGTTTCCGCGACCGCGCTGCCTGCCCTCGAGGCGACGTGTACCGATCTACAAGGTGGTCGCTTTTGTTTTAGAGGACTTTTTGTTTCGTTGACGTTTGTTGTTGATTCTTGTTCTTGTCGTCCGCTTTTTGCGTCCGCTTTTTTTTTTTTTTAATTTTTGGGCATCTATACTTTTGACTTGTTCTTAGTTTTGTCGAGCTCATGCTTGTAGGTAGTAGTCATGCTTGATTTTTGTGCCAACTCGAACACAGATAATGACGACAACGGTTTATAGTAGTATTTAGGTATATGGTATGTTTTTTGGAGAGTTATATCAGATTATACATACAACTTTTGTTGCTTTTCCTTTCTCTTTTTTTAAGAGAGCATTTGTGAAATATCTATTCTAGAACGTCTCTTGTTTTTTGAACGACACCCGCGTGTTTTTGCGACAATCTTTGTTCGGAGGTCCCTTTTACTGCAGCATCCATCTTGAAGGACGACTTTATCTTTCTTTTTGTCTTTTGTTTGTCTCGGCTTCGAACCACACGTCTAAACGGGCCGTCGTCGAGAGGGAATCGAACGTCTAGAAACAAATACTTGGAGCCGGACGGTGGGGTCCAATCGTGACGTACGACGTCTCGACCCAATGTCTCCGGTCACTCGACTTCAAATCGCCGCTAACTCGCGGGCCACTCGTCGCAGAGTGCACTTACCGACATTTCTTCTCCGCACTGCATCCACAAACTGGAGTGCCGAACTCTCGTACGCGGCGGCGAAATCTTAGAGTATCTTCTTACGTGGGCAATACTCATTTACCCCATCTGTTACGACGTAGAAAGTGAAGGGTGGCTCTCTTTTTGCAGGCGCATAGTTTCCGAGCATCTTCTTTCCTTCGTTTTGATACGGCAGACGATTGCCGCGACGATGAAGGCGGGCTTCCGAAAGGAGCGGTGTGTCATCTCATCCGGTTCCAACCTTCTCGCTCTCCCGCGTCTCGTACACCCATCTGAAAAAGAAAAAACGGTGCCTTACATGTCCACACCGCCACTTTCCTTAACTTCCTTCATCTAAGCTCTAGCTCGCTTACCTCTAGGAGTTTGTAGCTGCGGTCAGCGCGACAAAGCTCAAGGCTGGAGTGGCCGGTTCTGCTTCGCACCGTCGGGAGTCTAAGAAGTAATGCGGAGGAGAAGAATGCTTCTACGTAGTATCGTGGGGACTCTGGTCCCCTCGAGCCGAACCCTTCTTCCTCGGCAACTGTCGTGGAGTCCTAACGTTTAAATGGTAGTGTCCTCTCGTTCTGCTGCCTGCGTCACATTTTTATAGAGCGAAACACCGAAGAAGGGCGTTGCGCGGAGCACCAGTAATAATCATACCTGCCATACTGACATCACAACCGAAGGAAAACACGGATCATGCATGGTTGTATGCTCGATCACGTCCGCTCAGCACACGACATGGTTTCGTTTGTAGATTGTTTAGGACAATTCCAACTGGGCACTTGCATCGTGATCATCAGATGTTGGCCGCACGGTCTGGTTCAGGACGTCGAACGTCAGCCATTGGTGCTCTTGAACGTCGTCTGCAAGTTTCTCCGCTTTTTCTTCGCAGTTTCCGACCGGTCGCCGGGGGCGTTCCGTGATCGCGCATCGTCCACCAGACCCCTGGCATGACAATCCGTTTCTGTGTTCCCTCCTCTTGCGCTCTTGCATTTTGAGGCAGCCTTCTTTTTCTATTGCTGTTTTCTTTGCAGCATTTTTTTTTTTTTTTTTGCATGTGAACCTTAATTTTAATGTCAATCAAATTTACTCAATGCCATCTTTGTTTTTCTAACTGGTTGCTGTTCCCACGGTGTTGCAGCTTATTTACGCTTTCAGCGTCTGGTGTGTCCTTCCGACACTGTCTGTTCCTTACGGCATTGTGAGCTTCTCAGAGTGAGTGGATTGAGTGAGTGTTGGACGGCAATAGAAGAGCGTTTCGTGTTGCGTTGAGGTTATTCTTTTTTATGTTTCCTTTCCCCTACCCTTTCCTCTATAGACTATTTAGACAGTAATAATGCTAATAATAATAAGAAAAAAAAAAGAATACGTCGGGCTTTCAGCGCTTTCCTTCCGGTTCACAGGAAGAGGCGTCCTTACAGATATTTACACGTGGAGTTACAATTTAGGTCTAGCCACAGTGCACACTACGGCACTCTTTGTGCCGACTTTGTGTAGACTCTTTTGTAAGGCGCAGTTTCGACACTACCGGAACGCTCTTTGTGGCCGAATGCAGCTGTTTACGGCCCTTGTGGGTTGGACAGGGCCGCCATCGAGGACTGGACAATGCCACGAGCAATAACAATCGTCGGAGAGTCAACGCTCTGTCTTGAGCACTACCAAAGGCTTATTTATTGGAAAGACGAGCGAAGGGCGGGATCTGGGTGCCCTCGTCAGTCCTGTATGCATACGTACAAAAGAAAAAGGAAGAGCTACCCATTGATGCGTATGGTTTGCATAGGGACAATCAAATGGCAGAATTATTTTGCAGAATCTTGTCATACTTTGTCTTCTCTAATTTGGTTTTTCTTTCTCCCTGATTCGCACCAAGAAACAAAACCTTTGGCAATATTGTCCTAAAACTACGCATTCTTCCGTGGTTTGGTCTGCAGAGCGCTGCTCTCGAGTAGGTAATGCTTTGACGACATTAAATAATTTGTACTGCGAGCGTACAGCAATGGGCATCGAAACATTCCTAGCACGGTAGGATATGCTTGAGTAGGTGTGTTTATGATTCATATTCTGAATGTGAATTAATTTATCCTTCTAAAGTTGTGGTTCACGTGTGGCTGTGAATTGAACACTCGCCAGTTCCAAGGGCATGAACTTTATGACTGAATGACTGTCTTTTTCTTTTTATTTTCATGTTGATTTCAGATAAATGCCCTTGGCAAAAATGGGCTGCAAGTAGGGTTTGTAATCACTGAAGACAACTCTTATCAACTGCTTTGGGTGTGTGCCCGAAATTCCTTATCAGTGAAAATTGAGATAGCTCGCCCTTACACATCGCTGCTGGTACATCGTTCAGTCATTTGTTAATAATGTACCGTTGTACACACAAATTGTAAATATATATACAAACACACTGCAGAAGGGTTGTAATAAAAGTGCGTTTTTTTACGTAGTAATATTTTTTGTTTGTCTGAAATCCTTGGGTATGTGCCGTGGTTTGCTCCTGGGCAGCGGCGACCAGCCACTCATGTGACAGCCGCTCAGTCGGTCTGCCGTCACTAAAGCAGACTGCCACGTCTTTCGTGGAGGGAACAGCGTCCCAGACACCTTCCAGAACATTGTGGCGACAATCTGTGGGCTACGGGTCGTGCCACTATGCCACCACAGCCCGAGCCCCTAGGAAGGTTCCTTAGTAAGCGACTCCGGAGATCCTGGAGATGGATTAGTGGCAGGAAACGACACAGTTACGATATTTCGCCCGCGGTGCACAGGACTCAACATATGCTCACTCCCAAGGATATTGAAAGAATGATCATTGGGTACGTATATTTTATTCCAAAGTTTATCCAACAGCTTTAGATGGGGCGCGTTTTTCTTTCTAGTCGCCGACAAGGCGAGAACGGCAGGGACGTCTTTCAGTTATCCCGCCTCCAGCGCGCGCTGCCCAGCTTCGATAACTTTTTCGGCGTCTCGTGATCCTCGAGCGTGCACGCGCAGCGAATGCACGGCGGAAGGCAGCGAGCGAGTGCGTGCCGTGCGTGCTTCGAGCATTCCAAAGAGACGCCCTACGCCCTGCCGTTACCTTTCTACCCATCCACATCCTTCCACAGAGGAGTCTTTGCTCTCAACTGACATGCAGCGCCGTCGGCGTCGCAAGCGGCGTAAAAAAAAGTCTCCGCACGACCAGTCCTGGAGCGTGTGGAGGATTACCGAGCAAAGCTGGCTGCCGCTGTTTCGCCGAGTTTCGGGTCTTTACGAGAAATACCCGCTCGTGTGTTTCTGCCGGTGCGATAATCAAAGGCAGATCGCCGCACGTAGCAGACTTGTAGAAGTTGCTTCGTCTCGAAGTTTCAAGTGCCTGTCCGGCTGGTGGTTTTGCCATGCTCTAAACATGACCCGCGGTACAGTTCGGCGCTCTCACGATGTCGTCTAAAAGGTCCGTATTGTTTGAGCCCCATTCCTCCCCGCGATCTCCGAAAATAGCCTTTCGTAACTTCGAGCGCCGCCGCGGCCGCAGGACCTTTTCTTCCCCGCTTTCTACTTTGTCTCCGGATTACCCCTACGACGTCTCGGAGACTGGGAACCTAGCCGGAGGTGGTCCGGAAATTACGACTGCGCGTGTTCCGATCCGATCGGTTGATTGCAGCCGGGAAACGCGTCAAGAAAGAACGATGCTTTTTTTTTTATGTCTATATTGATTTCTTTTTCTTAACCGAACTTGTGCGCTGGCACGTTGTTACCTTTCTCTTTATGTTATAGATGGAGTCGCCCGTCGATTCTTGGTTTCGTACCACTCGGGGCCTTGAAATCAGCATTCCAAACAAAAGACTTTGTTCTTGGCCTCAGACTTTCTCGTTTGTCGGCGGCGAAAGTTGGTGAATACTAATCGTGGACGAATGTTATCGACGTCGTCTGATTGGCCTAAGATAAAAAAAAAGGTCCTTTCTCCGGGCGCTCCCTCCTGTCCGATCGCAATCGGTCAACTGATCCCCCCAGTGAGGCGTTTCTAATCAGCCCGTGAACTGGAAGACCACGACAGCTAGCTCTACACTCATTGCCATTTGACGATGATCTTTAAAGAAACGCGGTAGGCTGAGTGTCCCGAAAATTGGTAGCGTTTCATTAAATGCAGCGGACATTGCGGCGAAACAATATGCCGTTCCGGCGCTTTCTCTTGTTTCGCTCTGTTCTAGTGCCTTGTGTCAACTTGAGCTTTCGCCGCCGTGTAAGGGATGGGATCACTCATTGTGGCGTTGAAAATCGTTCCGAAAAGTAAATAACCCGAATACAACTCTAACATTGGTGAAAAGACGGTGAGAGTGCAGGCGAGCTGGTGGTAGCTAATCATGTCGTATTACACCTGAGATTGCGGTGGAAGAAATCGGAAGAACTTTCAGTGGAAGAAATCGGAAGAACTTTCATTACACCTGAGACTGCGGTGGAAGAAATCGGAAGAACTTTTTGAGACGTTCTCTGTGTCTGTTCCTTCTACTGAAAGTTCTTCCGATTTCTTCCACCGCAGTCTCAGGTGTAATACGACATGATTAACTCTAACATTGTTGTCATGGAAACATAGCCACACTCGGTTGAGCATAGTATGCTTCAACAGGCTGGCACAGACAAAAGTATAACTATGCGGAGAGCAAGCCGTCTGCTTTTTGCGCAGGAGTTGCGGTGACATCAGAACGATGCCAAGCTTTAATTGGAAGGATAGTGGTTAGACCTCAATGCTAGGTACCTTAAGGTCTACCCACTATTTTGTTTTTTCAATTGGCCAATAAAAGCTCGGCGTTCTGACATCATCGCAATCCCAGAGCAAGAAGCAGACGAACTTACACTCCGCATAACACTCAGAAGTAGTAGGTGTAGCAGGGAACCTGCTACACTTACTACTTATAACGTCTTACCGTATGTGGCTATGTTTACATGACAACAATGTTAGATTTGTGTTCGGCTATCTGTTTATTGGAACAATGTCATGGTTCACGGGCATTTGACTGAAGTACGCCGACTGGCCCCTGTGTGTATATGGCACTGGGTCAGTTTATAGGCTATTCAAACGCGTGGAGTTGGCAGACTGAAGGGTTGTCTAGAGGTGTCGTATCAGCCTGATAGATAGCTGTTACATAAACGCTCCCTATAGTGCCAGCAGTCTGCAGGCATAACTGGACAGAAGTTTGGCTTTTATGCCTTTCTGTTGAGGCACGGATACAGAAGGCATTCACTGAAGCATGCAAGGCTTATTGTCAGGCTGGCTGCATAACACAGGTAGTGCAAATGCAACATTGGTGCTTTTTCACGTCTAACTCGTGCAGTAGTACTAAATGCAGAATGTTTGCGTCTAGTTTAGTCCCCACATAAATACATTCTACTAATTTAATAATACTGTTTCATTAGGCGGGCACTTTTAAAAAAATCTGGCCCAGAAAGGAAAAAAAATGCTTGTCTTGGGACCAGGCAGGCCTTAAAACTAATTTCAAACAGCCCAGCAAACACAATAGAAAATATAGTGTTGACCAATGGCAAACAACTTATTATGTCATAAAAAAAACAAAAACAAAATAAAAACCTTGTACAAAGTAATTAAATAACAAATTCTATATTAATTAACTCTGAAACAAATGCAATAGAAAACATTGTTAAATAATAGTACACACATTACTATGTCGAGAGGTACTGATCGTTGAAGAGTAGTGAATAGAAGTGAGGAAAGGCGCCAATTTCTTGTTCATACAATCTGCATAGCAGTCTCTACAGGGTGTTCCACTTTTAAAGGGAACACAGGAATGTGTGGCTGTCGATCCGTGCAGCACCAGCTGCAAGCACTCGCGGAAGCTCGGTGCGGATGCGGTGAGCACCAGAGGGGGTGCGTTCTGCGCGTCGTCTGCTTCTGCGTGCTGCGATCCAGATGCAGTGCATGAAAAAGCAGTGCGGTAGCTATCGACATGTGGCACGCTCCACCTGTGGTGCTCACTGCGTCTGCGCTGAACGTCTGTGGGCACCGGCAGCCGTGCTGTGCGGAGTGCCGGTCACGCATTTTGGTGTTCCCTTTAAGAATGGATTGCTCTGTACAAGATGTCCCAAAAATATATTAGGTTTTATTTACCTCAAAAATTGAACTACCATAGAATACAGCACATCTGCCCGCTCCACATTAAGTGCCCATTCTCAAATTCGTAAGATCCGAGAAAATACGCACAGTACATTTATATGTAAAATCAATGACCGGAAAAGTACCCATTGCCCATTTTATCGCGATTATCTCAAAATTTAGAGTGGGTGCTTGCCCTGTATATTACAGTATGCATCGCCGAATGCTCATTCTCTGCCCAGATCTAGTGCCAGTAATCCGAACAAGACGCCAGAGTTTTAGAACTGACCGTTATCTTATTTAAAAGTTATACTGTAAAATACTGGGGGAGCTCCCACTTTGTTTTCACTGGAAAGTGGGTTAATCTGGACATGGGCGCTTGTCCGGTCAAATCGGGCGTTTAGCGTATAATTTTCAGAATTCTCAAGTTTGGGAAATGTTAATAGTGGACGCTTTTGCAGTATTTCACGGTAAGTGATTTTCTTAAATTTTCAGTTGGAAATAGGCGGCCGGCGGAGCTCTAAAATATGTGGAGCTGAATGGTGCCAGTTACCGGAAACAAGCGAAAACTGATCTTATTGTCCCATTGAAATTTTCAGGAAATCACAAACCTTTTAATGGAATAATGGAGAGTTATGAAATTTCGGCATCTAATTCGAACTGCTAGCACCACATTTGGTTGGAGAATGAGTGTTCAGTGATGCTGTGAAAAAAACTAAATATTGTGAAGGGTAATAACCTTGTACAGTCTATACATGTTAGCCTCGAACGTTGTTCACTGCTTTTTTAGAGGCAATGTGTGGATTTATTGGCAAGGTGACGAGTCTTCTAGTTTTGACTTCTCAATGCCCGTCGCTTGACGAATCCACCTTGGGGCTTTTTGCCGACAGCGAACTGAAGAAGCTGAGCGAGGAGAGCCTAACCCGGCAACCAGAGGAAGTTTTTGACATAATCTGCAAGCTCGGAGAGGGCAGCTATGGGAGCGTCTACAAGGCACTGCACAAGGAGTCTGGACAGGTGGGGACTTGCATGTTACTCCATTGCCTTTGCCCTATGGGGGGGGGGCCTGATTTGAACCGCTCTAGGCCTGTGCGAGTAGTGGATTTTGAGTTAGAAGCAAATAGTGGTTTTGGCCAAATATTTCCGAATCGAATATGGAATAGTTTCTACAAGCTTACCACTACCGTGCACCATGCTAGAACGAAAATTCAGCTGAACTTGTGAAATTTGTTCCCAACCTTCTGCTTTAAAGGAGCTGTGCAACGATTTAAATGTTGAAAGAATTGGCATCTTCTACTTTTGACATTGTTCATCTTGTCACAAAGGACAGAAAACACACCTCCTTCCTTCGAAACGTTGCGATTCCGCCGTGTAAGCGCGAGGCAAAAATTAGAATATTCCCCGACCTGCAGCCGCGAGCGGCGGCCAAGAGAAACACGCGGCGTGACGTCAATGGGGGGTTCTTGTAGAAAGATAGCAAGTTGTGTGAATACCTGCTTGATAAAAGGTAACTTTTCTATAAATCCTGTCGTTCCAACATAAATATAAATGCGTCAAAAACCTGGTATCAACGACAAAACTTTTATTATACGGAGTTTTAGTGGCGCCATCTATCCTAGGTCCACAAAACCGTCAGCTCTGTCTGCTACAGTGATGTGATTGCTGCGCCAATTGCGCCAAACTGCGCCAAGGGGCTAACTCTGCTACATCCTGCTACATTTCGCCAAAATATGGCTAATCTGCGCCAAACCTGCGCCAAAAGACCAATTTTGGTCGCCTTTCAAAAACGAAACTAAGCTGAGAACTGTAATTGAGCATGCGTGAGCTAGGTGGCACAAGACGCCGCCCGACACAAAGTACCCTGCATCAATCGTCTATTCGGTCTTGCATGTTTTTTTTCCGCTGTTCGCGTTTCGCGCTCTCGTCTTCTCGGGAATCTCGTTTCGCGTCTTTTTTTTTCTTTCTTAAATTTTTTTGCGATGGACACGGGCGTGTGCGAACGCTCCGACGTTAGTTAGTGTGCCGGGTTCCAGACATGCCGTCATGCTGCGAAACAATACCACGTTTTTGCGCGGCGAGAGTTACTTCATGAGCTGAAGCGCTCGCGCGACCGCAGTCGCCGTGGTCGCGCGACGTCGTGTGTTGCCGTCCCCACATCGCTGCAGATGTGGCGCTTTCTAAACTGAAATGCATCGACATTCCTGCTCTTGTGTAAATCATACGCTGCTATAAAAATCCCTCTTTAACTCAATGACTGCTTGGCGAAGTTTTAATTACCTACGTTTCTCTCGGTGGACTTCCTTTCGAGAGGGACCCCGGTACGTGGAAAATCTGCCGCGAAAGAAAGTTGATGACGAGAAGTGAGCAAAAGCAAAGAAGGCAATGGTTTGCACGCTGAACCCGCACACCGCGCTTGTTTGTCTCGAGTTCAGTCGTTGCACAAAGCGCTCACAAGAACTTTTTGACCCTTATTCGCAGTGTCTTGCATCGATACGCTCAGGTTCTTTTTTTCTGTGTGTTTAGCCTGTACCTCGCCTGCCGGCCTGGCAAGCACGTGCCGCTGTACTGTTTATTGTCGTATGCTGGACAGTTACATTTTGCATACTATTTAGGAACCAGTTGGCGACGGAGCGGAGTGGCATGGTTTCGGTCGAACAGCCGTTGTCTCCGCTCGCGCGACGAAGCACGTGTAACTGCAAGCCTGCCGAAGTTGCCCTCACGTGCATGTGAACATGATTGCACAAGAGGCACCAGCCGGGACGCTTGCAATCCATTGTTTTACGTTTGCTTACTTTTTATAAAAATCGGCCACCTCGGGAACCAGTAAAACGATAGGAACTTTTTTTTTTTTTTTCGTTTTTTCTTTTTTAAATTGCTCGGCAACGCTTACAGCACTGTATAGTTGTGGGATATCTCAGCAGCAAAAACACAAGCAGCGAATTCCGCCCCAACACGTCACACGCATCACAGCACAACACAAAGTGCCCTTCGTTTGTCCAGCACTTAAAACAACTATTTATTTTTCTAACAGTATATGCTCCAAAAGTCACTTTTTCTGCCCCGAAACACTGTTTTGGCTGCTCCAAAAGTCACTTTTGCTGCTCCAAAACACTGTCTTGGCTGCTCCAAAGGTCACATTTGCTGCTCTAAAACACTGTTTTGGCTGCTCCAAAAGGTTCTCCAAAATGGCTTAGGCCAATCACATCACTGCTGCTACCTAAACAGTTGCCAGAAGCCGAAGGGGGAGGGGGACAGGGCCGGACGGGTATGGGCGAACCCGGATGAGACTTTCCACCTTTCACCATTTTGTTCGCGCTGCGTCCGCCAGCACGTGGTCACGCGGTCGCGAGCGGATGACTTTTCACCGCTCACTGATGGCTCTAAAGAGTAAGCTTCACCGGAACCCCGCGCGACCCCCATTGACGTCACAGCGCACGTGAATCGGAAGATGGTGAAGGAGTTGAGAGGTGCCGAAAACTTCAATCTCTGTCCATTTTTAAAATAAAAACTAGGACATGCAGGCAAAAGTGTTTTTTTTGTTCTTTACTTGAGAAAGGTCGACACACCAACTCCCAAATTATTTAAGCAAAGCACTGAAACGTTTGCACAGCTCCTTTAAAGCTCACTTAATTTTAATCTAACTACCATAGAATACCGCGCATCCGCCCATTTGACACTAAGCGCCCATTCCCAAATTTGTAATATCTGAGAAAATAGGCACAGTACATTGGTATGTAAAATTGATGACCGGACAAGTACCCATCCACCATTTTTTGTGATTATCTCCAAAGTTTGAGTGGGAACTTGCCCGGTATTTTACGGTATACAGTATATATAAATTATGGCATGTAAATGACAAATTTGTTGTGGCTATCCTAATCAAGGGGATTTATAAATCTGCTTGCTACGTGCAAATATTCTTTCTCCTATTCAAATTTGACAACAGAAGAAAATGCAGCACGAATGTTGAATTTGGGCTGTCAAGACATTGCTGCCTACCATAACTCTCGCATAATTGCGGCAGGTTAGTACCATTGAGTACACCTCTCACAGAGGCTTTTGACCCGCAGAACATGTGAGCTTTGCCGGTATTGGGGGCTTCCCTGCAGTGCACCGGTGCTCGGTGAGAAGTGCACTCAACGGGGCTAACCTGCCGCAATGAACACTTTGTAAAGTATGACTATCACAGTTCCCCTCAAGGCAAATATTGAATAGCCTATTATTTTAAACTACTATTTGAAAATTCAAATATTTGCACCACACTAAACCTTTCGTTATTAATGTAAAACGAATTTTAGCAGCAACGAAGTTGGGATTTGTGTCACCGTTGCCATACCGCGCTGTCGTCTGCTAAATTTGAAGGGACCCACCGAGGATCGGGGCCATTCATTTGGCCAAAGAGGGGCACAGTATGAATTCATCACTATTAATGCAGAATTAGTTTTAATAGAAGGGAAGCTGGGATTTGTTCCGTCGTTGCTGTACCGCACGTGCGTCTGTTAAATTTAGAGGGACACCACTAGGGGTCGTGCACCCATGTGACCTCACATGTTCACATGGCGTGCGTCGGGCCGCAGTGCGGAGTCATGGTTTCACTTGACGTATTGGTGTCAATAACCTTGTTAGACCTAGTAACGTAGGGTATCAAGTTGGGGTGCAGCGTGACAATGTGACATGATTTCTGTGTCCATAACACTGGGGCCCGCTTCAGCGGTTGCTGCATTCACACGCAGCAACCGCCAAAAATCAAATTGCTACGTCTTACAATCATCATCATCAAAATTGCAATTTTCTCGCACTATTAGACAAAGTTATGTACTAGTAATAGGTTTCTATATCTTTAAATAACTTTGAGAATACTAGCTAATCTCCCGAAGACTATTTAGTTGCGAAGAATGATTAATTGCAAATCAGAACCAGATGAAACCGGCGTTCACTTATCGTCATCACTACCACTGGGGAGTCGCGTGAAAATATACTGTCCCTACGAAAGCAATAGGGCGGAAAGTTGGGCGAGTCGGCGGTACAAGTTAATGGCAGCACTCCGTGCTTGTACTTTGTCTTCTTGTCCTGAGTTTCCTTGCCTCGTTTATTTCGCTGTTAATACCCTACTAAAGTGCCGCACGTTTACAGTGTCCCGCACAGTGATCCGCGGCATGGAACCCATCTCCGATTGGCGTGTTTGCTTCGTCCTAAAGAGTAGTCAGTAGATTTCCGTCCGACGAGGACTTCATAGAAGTTGGGGCGTTGGCCGGCCGCAACTGTGAATGTGGCGGGTGCCCATCTCACTGCAGGTAGCTTTCCAGTGTGACAGTCCACGTAAGCTTTGGCAGCCGAGGGTTGGGACACCGTGACGACAGCAAGACTCGTATTATCTCACACTTCTTTTTTTTTTCTTTTTTCCGGTGCTTGTACATCCAATCGCCAGGATTGTGACATCTGATGACGTGACACTCCGGCTTTTGCGACTTCCTTTGTTGTCACTTCGGGACCACTTTCGATGCATTGGTGGAATAGGACACTAAACACACTGGTCGGAGACGCGTTCCCGGCTCTGTGCCGGTACGGATCCTGGCAAGGCAGTGACTTTGTGCCTGCAGGTGCTGGCCATCAAGCAGGTCCCAGTGGACACGGACCTGCAGGAGATCATCAAGGAGATCTCCATCATGCAGCAGTGCGACAGTCCCTACGTTGTCAAGTACTACGGTTCCTACTTCAAGGGCTCCGACCTCTGGGTCAGTCGTAATTTCTTGTCGCGCTTGGACAAACTGGTAAAAAAATGTGACGGATTACGATCGAGGGACTAAGTCCCAGGACCGGGTGTCTGCACTTGCCCGGTTCTTACCACACTGTGTTTGTGCTGCATGCAATTGCTGTATAGCCTAAACAACTTGTATTTTGCGGGGGTTTAATTTGTTTGACTTGCGAAGCTGGAGAGCTTGTTTATTTGGTGGGAAGGGGGTGAGTCGTTGCCTTTGGGTCTGGTCTTTCGAGGCTGTCCGAGCATCGTGGCGCAACTTTTCGCGTAAAAAGTAATTTTGCTCTGTTTGTGCAGATTGTCATGGAGTACTGCGGTGGCGGCTCAGTTTCCGACATCATGAGGTTACGAAAGAAAACGGTACGTCTCATCTGCCTCGGGATTGGGAATGTGTTTACGACAATGACGTTGATGCATCTTTTTGTTTTGAAATGTGGCACAACTGGTGCAAGCACCCTGTAGCACAGCGAATTATCTTGGTATAAAAGTATGCTTTCCCGGTCTCCGAGACATTCCGAAACATTAGTTCCATAAAGGGTTTCAGCATCTCATTCTGAGTGCTGAATCTGACATTCATATCCACATTTTTATCGGCGAAACAGTGTCACAAAGAATCGAAGAACAGTTCATTATCTGGCTGGGAATTGCTCGATCCCTAGTTTGACCCCTGTCGGAAGTATTCTTGTATTTAAGTTTTAAAATGGCACCCACAGGGCCTATATATGCTTAAATAACTTTAACCCGGGTGCAACGGTCCAGGGCTGCAGCTGAGCGTGACAGTTTTTATGAAAAGCCGGCATACAAACGCATTCTGTGTTAGAATCACTGATTGATTGATTGACTCGTGGCATTGCTGCACGTGCGTGCAGCTGTCCGAGGAAGAGATAGCGACTATCCTGTCGGACACCCTGCGTGGCCTGGAGTACCTGCACCAGCGGCGCAAGATCCACCGAGACATCAAGGCGGGCAACATCCTGCTCAACACGGAGGGACACGCCAAGCTGGCAGACTTTGGCGTGGCCGGACAGCTCACGGTATGTGCCCCCTGACAGTTGCTGTAAAGCTGGTTGTTTCTGGAAATATTTTCACTCTGTCAGTTCCTCCAGTATATCGGAAGTTTAAGTTCCAACACCAGTGTCACTAGTGCACTTCAACTTCGCTTCATTAGATACTTGTGGGGTCTAGCTACTAACAAAGCTACCGACAGAGTAGCCAAAGGGTCATCTCAATGGCGGCGGCAAACTCGAAGGAGACGTCGAGCCTGGTAGCACGGTTTCATGTATTTGCAGTAATGTACAGTGCTCAGCAGACTTATCTTGAACACATGCTAAGCCTACCCTTGGCTTGTTCTATTATATTTTTTTCTATGTGTGCGTGCATAGCTGGAGCTAGCCCTAAGCTATTTCTCTTTGTGTCCCACCATCTCCGTAGCATACTTTCAGTTCACATAAATATGCGCAGTTCTCTCATATTTTATCTTTTTTCCGCATTCAATGTTCCACAGGTGTTCCGTATAAGTTTGATGAGCACTGCACATGAGCTTTGGGGCTACATTACCGTGGGTCGGTTCAATAAAATACCTCCGTCGGTCCCTACGATTGTTACCTTGTCTCACTCTCTTGAATATGACGGAGAAAGAGACCCATATCAGAGTAAGGACAGGGTCTAAAAGCATTTATTAAACACTCTTTAGAAAGGCACTCCACGTCCCCGTCCAAAACGCCCCCCTTGCCGGCAAGGTAAGAAAAGGTCATTGCCTGCCAGGCACGGGGATCCGGGGAGTCAAGATTGGGGAAGCATTGGAGAGGTCGCGGAAAATGCGTCCCATCACTATCGCGGCCACCGGACCGGTCCCTTTCCCGAAAGCGGAACAGGAAGAGGCGAAACCTCCTTGCCTGTTGTTTGTGCTGCATCTGAGTGGAGCAGTGGAAGACTACACCCCGGGAGAGATAGAAAGAGGAAGGCCCTCCAAGGCTTGGGAACCCTCCTTCACAAAACATAGCGATACAGGTGGTGTGGTTCAACCGGTGGCCGTTATTATGGCCTTCGGGAAAGTGAGGTAGCAGGAGTCCCCGCATACGAAATTAACTTCTCTAACAGGTTGGCTTTCTTATAGGAGTCGTTTGATAAAAGAGTAGTTTACTTTTTTGGGTGGGGGTCGTTTACTTTGCTATAAGGTCTATAAGGTTCTGCAATCTTTTATCATAACAACCATCTCGAGGAACCTTTGCTATCACCTCCCCACCATGTCTTTTCTCGTCTCAACCATTCTTCTAAATTGCATAAAAAATTTTTGGACACAGTCTCTTATCGAAAGTCTTCGTTACCATTGACACTAAAATACCGAAATGCATTACCTGACCCTCATTGTTTCTAAAAATAATATATTTTGCGGCAGCTACTACTCCCTTCCTCTCTATTCCCTCAAACTGGATTACAGTGTCTATATTGTGTCAATGTTCTGTTCATTGTTTTTTTATATTTATATATTTATGCGTGCCCACTCATGTTCATGCAGGTCCTCAAGAAAGCTAAATGACGATGTTGATGGTAGTTTACTATGAAGACCCATTCACACATATGCCTTAATGCTATAGACTTAGCACTGAACAAGAATAACAATAAAATAGTGAAATAAAATAAAAAATACGTACAAGAAAACACAAAAAACTTGAAAATACTAACTGATAAAAATGGATAATAAAAATGTTGAAAAATCTTGCACATACGACGTGCAGTGTGTGGAGGGTACATTTTGTGTTACCTGGTCTTGGTCAGCATGGTCAAGCCTATATTAGTGATGCGATTGCTGCGCCAATTGCACCAAACTGCGCCAAGGGGCTAACCCTGCTACATGCTGCTACATTTTGCCAAAATATGGGTAATCTGTGCCAAGCCTGCACCAAAGGACCAGTGTCGGTTGCCTTTCAAAACCGAAACTGAACTGAGTACCGTAACTGAGCATGCGTGAGCTAGGTAGCGTAAGCGGCCACCCGGCACAAAGAGTCCTGGGTCAATAGTCAATTCAGTCTTGCATGGTATTTCCCGCTGTCTTTCGTTTCTTGCTTTCGTGTTCTCGTGGACTTCATCTCGCATATTTATAAAAAAAGAAATAATAATAAACGATAGACGCAGGTGTGGGCGGACGCTCCGATGCTAGCATGCCGGGTACCAGCCATGCCGTCATGCTGTCAAATGAAACCACGTTTTTGTGCGGCGTGAGTACTTTGTGAGCTGAGGCACTCATTCCTGAAAGCAATGGCCGTGGGAAAACTGGGTATATTTGGTCCCTGCCTGCCAGTCATCGTGGTCGCACGACGTCGGGTGTTGCCGTCGCCACGTCGCTGTAGATATGGCGCTTTCTAAGCTGAAACATAAGGACCTCCGCATGTTAATCAACATTGTCATACTCTACTACGAAAATCTCTAACTCAGACTGCTGTATCAAAGTATTAATTACAACATTTTTTTCGGTGGGCTTTCTTTCGAGAGGAACCCCGGTACGTGAAAAATCTGCTGCGAAAGAAAGTTGGTGAAGAGGAGTGAGCTATAGCAAAGGAGGCAATGACTGCATGCTGAACCCACTCAGTGCGCTTGTTTGTCTCGAGTTCGGTCATTGGACAAGGCGTTCCAAGAACTTTTTGACCCTGGCACACAACTTTTTGCATCGATGCGCTCAGGTTTTTTTTTTGTGTGTTTAGCTTGTACCTTGCCTGCCGGCCTGGCTAGCACGTGCGCTGGACTGTTTTTTGTCGTATGCTGGACAGTTACATTTTGCATACAATTTTGGGAACCAGTTGGCGACGGAACAGAGTGGCATGGTTTTGGTTTCGATCGAACAATTGTCTCCACTCATGCGACGGAGCACGTGCAACTGTAAGCGTGCCGAAGTTGCCCTCACATGCATGCGAGCATGACTGCACGACAGAGGCACCAGCCAGGGACACTTGCAATCCATTGTTTTACTTTTGCTTTCTTTTGACGAAAATCTCGTACGTCGGGAACCAGTAAGATGGCAAGCGGTTTTTCAGAATGGCTCGGCAACGCCTACAGCACTGTACACCTGTAGGATTTCTCAATGTCTCTTTGGAGACATTGAAAGTGGACATTAATTACTAGCCGAAGGCAAAGCTAGAAAGCGATGCTTGCAGCAGCCTTGCAAAACGTTTCGACAAGCAAAAGAAAAAAAAAAGCACCCGCTAGTCGTAATGCACTTTTGTCTTGTGTACAATTTCGTAATGCGCTGCAGTAGTTACGTGTTTCATCAACCGAAGACTGCTTCCATTTACTATATTATAAAACTAGTCAACCTAATGCTGTGATATTTACTACTAAGCTGGTCATTTTCAAATAAACTTTAATATGTGCAGCTTGGTTCTTATTTATCTATAGCGGGTACATATATATTTATCATTTAACTGAAGCATTGCAAAATGTGTCATGCCATTGGCTTTTCAGTTACATTTTTAAAGACTCCCAGGTGGTCCAACTTGACCATAATTTGTTTAACGCGGCGCGCAAAGTGCAATTTGTTTGTCCAGCACTTAAAATGCATATCTTTATTTTTCTAAGAATATCTGCTCCAAAAGTCAGTTTTTCTGCTCCAAAGGCCACTTTTGCTGCTCCAAAACCCTGTTTTGGCTGCTCCGAAAGGTGCTCCAAAACGGCTTAGCCCAATCACATCACTGCTATATCATCTTTGTTATCCCAGTGATGACATGCATGTATGAATCGGTTTTTAAAGTGTTTTGTTAGTAGGTCGTAGCTTTCCGGTTTATGACCAAAAACGCTGATAAACATCCAATTGTGTCAAAAATACAAAAGTGGCTAAAATTGAAAGGCACCGATATAGCTCCATCAATGTCAGAAATGCGAAGACCAATTAAAACCGAAAATCCTGCTTTTTGGAAATATTTGCTCTAGCTAGAACTGTTTTTGTTGAAACATTGCCCCGTTAGACCTCAGCTCTTAATTTTTCCCCCGAGACTATTTTCGCCCGCAATCACCATTTTTAGCGTCCGTCCGAAACCAATCAATGAAGTGCACTGACGGAAAAATGAACGAACACCGAAAAACGTCCGCCGATTTCCCTCGTAAACAAACGCCAGGGAATCTGCGGCCCGGTTACGAGTGCAGTCTGTCGTAGGGGTGAGTCAACGAGCCCTTTGTGCAGGACACGATGGCCAAGCGCAACACGGTGATTGGCACGCCCTTCTGGATGGCCCCCGAGGTGATCCAGGAGATTGGCTACGACTGCGTGGCCGACATCTGGAGCCTGGGCATCACCGCCCTCGAGATGGCCGAGGGCAAGCCCCCCTACGGCGACATCCACCCCATGCGGGTCCGTCCATCTGTTTGACCAGACGTCCTCCAGCGACCCCACAACTATTCGGGAGATGGGGGGTGTTGGTTGGTGTGAAAATGCAGCATAGTGCTGCAAAGTGTCAAGAATCCCGTTGGCATGGGAGTCCTGACACTTTGCTGCATTTCAGAACTAATGGGGCACGGGATTGCATTTTAGAACTAATTAATGGAGCAGTAAAGAGGTATTCACACAAGGAAGAAATCGCATAAATTCTCTTCTGGAGCGCGCGTCACGTGACGAAAACGTCGGGTCTTTTGCGATGCGGTGCTGTGGCATTGGTCCTGCGACCCAGGAAGGGAGAAATGCTCGGGCAGTACAAACGGTCCCGGTTTGGCGGCGGATCGGCGTGGTTTTGACAACATTTTGTCGTTGAAAGCCTCGGCACCAAGAGCGGAAACTTTAAATTCGTCCGCAGTGGTGTCGAGTGGAAGCTTCTAATACGGCCGTTAATCTCCCCCACCGGCACCCCGTGTGTCTAAATGGTAGAAGCAGAGGAGGGAGTTGTGCTCACCGACGACATCATGGACGTGCTTTCACGGATTTCTTTTTCGTGTGAATACTGCTAACCGACAGGTTAAATAAAGCGTTAAAACACTGTATTGTTGTTGTTTTTTACAGAAATGTGTATGGCTAAGGTTTCATAAAAAAAAAAAGGTCCTTTAAAAGGATCAAGTAAACTGTTTCTGTGCCGAGTTTAGTGGGATGCAAATCGGTTAAATGCAGTAGAATTTACCGTGACTCCTGAGCTCAAAAAAGAAAAGCTCATGAAGGAACATGCACAGCACAGTTCAAAACGCACTGAACACCCTGCGTTTTTCGACTTCATCTCTAGGATTACGATACTTAGTTTTTTGCTTTGTCAGTTTCTGGACTGATTTTTTTGAGCACACCATTTTCTGGCAAGCTGAGCTTAAAGATGTTGTTTCTCTCCTTGCTCAATGTTGACCGTTTTCTTCCGAAACTCTTTCCTAAATTATCCTTAACTTTTTGTCGTAATTTCTCTGCCCGTTTCTTCCGATGAATAAAAAAAAGAATGCTAGGGCAACTTGTCTGGGATTACAATATTCTGCCTAGAGAGTTTAAAAAAAGGTGTCAATATGAAGAAAAAAGAAAAGAAGTACAGTCAACAACTGATAATGGCGGATTGTTGCGTGTGCAGGCAATCTTCATGATCCCAACGAAACCTCCGCCCTCGTTCCGCGACCTTGACCGGTGGTCTTCGGAGTTCATAGACTTTGTGTCGCGCTGCCTGGTCAAAAACCCTGAGGAGAGAGCCACAGCTTCGGAACTCCTTCAGGTATGCTTCGCTGCCGTCCAAAGGTTTGAGATGACAAGGCGAGTGGCAAACTCTGTGCACAATAATTGTAGGGGTAGTTTGAATGAGATTTCCATAACACTTTCAGATGTCTCACTTTGTAGCCCACTTTAACCCTTTGGGGTCATCTGTCAGGTATCTCCCAGCAAATAACTATTTCCCTTCTGGACAAGTGTCGGGGTTGTTCCGACAGGCCAATTTCTCCTTTACGGCCAAGGTCGCCCCCCCCCCCCCCACCCCACCAATTTCAACTTGTGCCATCTCTTGTCGGTTATGTAAACTATGCATACTTACTTTTCTACAAGTGCCGTAAGAGGCAAGACACATATTTCTTTTGCTAGATTAGCCCTTTCATGGTCACTGATGTACCTGTACGTCAGCTTGGGAGCATCCCGCATGGTTACTGACATACCGGTACGTCCGCGACTGCTCATTCAAAAATTCGCGCCTCTGCTTGAACGGGCGCGTTCGCGGGGACGTGCTGCCATCTGGTGGGTTCGTAGGGAACTACGACCCTATAACTCCTGTCGTGTTTGTTTGGGCGCGGCTTTTTGAAATTGCGAAACTGGACGCTTTGTGCAAGTGATACTTTTGAGACGGCCGGCTGCCTGTGCTGGCTGCTCGGGGGTAGCGTAGTGGAGATTGGAGCGATGGCTCTTCTGGTTCAGACTTTGAACCCTTGTCGGACTCTGAGTCGGATGACAGCTCGACATCCCACGAACAACTGGAAACCAGCTCGGTTCGGAGTCCGGAGTCTGACACACAGCCGCACCGTCTGCTAGACCGTCTCAGAAGCGGGCGCGTTGTAGTTTTAGTCTTTTTTGTTTTGTTCAGCCTCCAGCGAGTGTGCCGCAGATGTCTTGAAGCGTGTGTACTATTTATTTTAAGTCTTACATTTTTTTATGCGACAATAAACTAGTGTATACTCTTTGCGGTCACATCGAGTAAAAAAACCCGACCACGGGGGCGCGTCTTTGGACAAAAAATGCGACCATAAAAGGGTTAGCGGGCAGGCATTTCTTGCGCCTTTTTGATTGTTTAACATGGCAGCCTTTACTCCGTCTGTGTTCTGCGGACTGTGCAGTCTGCAGCGACAGTAAAGTCGAAGGGCAAAGACGTGAAACTGTTTTCTAATGTAAAAGCTGCACTCGACACACTGGTCTGTACCTCGGCATTTGCTTCAAAAAGTCTCGTACGCTGTGCAGATACCGCTATTATATGTCAATAATCCAAATGAAGACGTTCAGGAGAATGCAGAGTTGTTTCTAACTGAAAATATTGATCGTAGTATATTAAGGAGTTGAATTTGGAGTCACTCATACCAATTCTGACCAGAGGGGCCTACAAGGGGAAAACTCGTGTGAACCCAAAAGGATAAAAGAATGATGAAACGGTTTGAATGGTTCACTTTGGTGATGGAGCCCTCTTGGAAGTGAAACATACCACTCTTAGAAAATTCCTAAAATTATGCTTTATATGTGTAGAATGCATATCTCTTCGTTTCTTCAAAAAGAAATATTTGATATCGGTTCAGTCAAATACCTTTATAACAAAGTTTGCGGGTCCGGCAACATTTTTTGTTGTACGGGTAACAGTGTTGTTGTAGTTAACTGTGAAAAATCTATCACACAAAACCTATTGTGCTATCGGATATTGAGGTATCTACGTGACATTTGAGGTGCTTTAGGAATCGGTATAGCGCGAAATATGGGATGAGCAACGTCAGAAACAATGTTTTGTATGTTGACAATTGACTTATCGAAAGGTACAAGCCTCAGTGAATTGTGTTACCTTTAGCGGCCTCAAAATTCGATTACGCAGTTAGTAAGAAAATAGGTTGTTGACAAAAAGTTGCAGGAGCGTGTTTTCACGAAATGCCACAGTGTCACCAAGATATGTGTCTATGAAATGTGTTTCGACGAAGCGTGTTTTCACGAAACCGTAGGGACCCGTCCCTGTGTGGTTTGTTTCGGTTTGCTCCCTGCCCCTCCAAACGCTGCTCTAATCTTTTTTTTTCTTTTTTATATATGTAGCAGCATGTATTATAAAGCGATGAAACCAATGTGTTATTGTGTGGTGTCGCGTTTTGATGGCATGTAATTTCTTGTTTTGTTTAGGCGACTTCTGTTTGGTGTGCTCCTTCGTTGTTACAGAATGGCCGGTCTTGTTCAACCTGGCGCTTCATGGCGAAAACCGAGGTCTCAATATTACTAATTAGCTCTTTGTTCGTCGACCAATAAAACGAGAGTTAGGTTCCAAACAAACAAAGGCGGAGCAAGACTTTTTGAAAGAGTTACCTCGGGGTCCAAGGTCAAGGTGCCACTGCACTGTACAGTGTCTCGAAAAGTACAATACAAAAATTATGTCGTAGGTTGGAAGCACGCAGACGTCGTATAACTTGTTTTCCGTAAAATAATGTGTCTTTCATAAATCAGTATTCTTCACAGAGCATGGCAGAGTGCTGCCGAGACCATAACACGTGTTTGGCGTGTGGGGAAAAAAAATGCCCACCATTCGAAGGGTTAATGTGGGCACGATTGAGACCCCAAGACCAAGGGGGAAAAAAAGTTAGTAAACACTTGAGCTCTTCTTTTTTTTTCTTTTTTTTTTCAATTTCTTCCATGCAGCACGTGTTCATCAGCAACGCCAAGCCCGTGACGATTCTGCAGCAGATGATTGTGGAGGCCAGAGAGATTCAGGAGGATGAGGCGTACCGAAAGGACCGGAGGGGAAGCAACGCCGGGGAGCCCGTGAGTGGCGTCTGCTGCCTTTTTGAACGCAGAACATGTTTTAGAACTTTTTTTCCGAGCCTAGAGTGTCACAAAATGATGTAACGAAAATGGAGTAACACGGCAGGTCGTCTTCACAGAAAACCGCGTCCCCCGACGGGAGTCCAACCACTGACCTCTCTCTCTGTCATCCGATGTCCCCTCCCTTGCACTGGCGGAGGTGCCTTGGTTTGCACGGTTATAGTTGGGTATAAGTGTTCTTGCGTTGGTGTAAAAACTTTGTCATCTCAATATACCCTTTCTAAAAGTGGGTTACATCTGGAAGCTGCTGCACCAATGACAAGGGTTGGATCAGGGTTCGGCGAGGAATTCAATCCGATCGCACGTTTTGTGCCCATAAATGGCGACGGCGAACTTTGCTCGACGGGGTTTTGAAAAGGGTCTATGGCAGGGGAGCACGGAACATGCTGACACCCCAAAAAATCTAGAATCTGCAATAAATAAATTTCCCTAAGCTTGAATGAAAATAAACCCTGAAGGTAGGAGGCCATAATCATTATCCAAGCAGTAGCTTTTGGTGAGCACTTAAAATAAACACGACGGTGATGGTGACGATGGGAACGGGAAGACTGGCGCGGAAGCCTTCTGTTGCTGGGTCGTGCAGTTCCCAGACGACGACGAAGTGGATGCCGGCACGATGGTGAAACTTGGTGCGGATCCGGGGACGCTAAAGGCTGACCGCGGTGGAGGCGACGAGAACGCCCCTGCCGGGAGCGACCTCGAGTCCGACCTTGGCACCCTGGTGATCAACAGTGACGGTGAAGACGACCAGGATGACTCAACTATGAAGAGTGAGTCGGAGGAGTTGTTTATCTGTAGCAAGATGTAAGATGGGCAGGTGGGGAAATGACCAAATTGTGTCCTCCCGGCAGCTTCCGCTCGGCAGGTACCTCCGCCTTACGATAGGTGGCGCGGCGGCATACGGAAGATGATAGACTGGAATTTGTATGGAGCTCTGCGAGAGAATGCACCGTGTCACCGATATTCTTTAATTTAAAGTAGGATTTACTAGATCCTAGCGAAATCAAATTACCACACGATTGTTTATGGACATTTTTCTCAAGTTCGATGCATTTTCCAAACGGCGTGAGCAACTGGCAGCGTAAAGGCGTTTGCGAAACGTCGGATCTGCTCTTTGCTTTTCATTTCGTTTGTTTTGCTCCCGAACGCACTTGAGCAGACGAATTTGGCGGTAGCGGACGAAATCGGCATTTCTCGTCATGTTTTGGCACTTGTGAATGGCCAAGTTTCTTGAGGTGTGGTCCGCTACTTTTGTGTTCAGAACTGTCGATCGGGTCGCAGCCTGAGGAAAGAAAAAACTGTCATATTTAACGCAGGCAATGTTGAGTTTGGAATTTGTAATGTAAAACTATAAACAAAGCCAAACCTATATATTAAATATATTATTTGTTTGTTTGTTTAAACTTGCAAGGTTCATGCAAACTCTACGAAAAAGAAAAGACTGAGGTACACCTAAGCATTCCTTATGAGTTGTGAATGCGAAAGCATGCAAGCCGCTCGTCCGCTCCCTTTTTCGTCTGGTGTGTTTTCGTCGCCGGTCGGCATGTGTGCGTCCCTAGTGACCTTGGACGCTCTGCGCTGATGGACACGCAGCGCCATGGGGTGAGCGGTCATGGAAACTGACGAGCGCAGCGGCCATTTGGAGCCCCGTCGACGCATGCCAGCCAATAAAACCGATGGAAACTATCTGTGGTTTTTGCACTTCAGACTGATGACGTCGGCTCGCTCCAGGAGGCAGTTAATGCTTTCGCATTAATAAATTGCAAGTGGGTCGCGTTGCCTGCAAACTTAATGAGGATATTTCGTTTTTCGTTCCTTCTTTGTGTGGCGTCATTTATGAGGAGTGCTATGAACCTTCTTGAAGTGGGGATGCAGTCAGGTTGCCCAATCTGCTCTCATTTTTCCACCTCCCTATTTTACACCCTGATCTGTAGTGTCTTTATGGACTTGCCTTTGGGGTGTTCACCCTTTCCTATTTTCGAATAAATTCATGGGTACAGTATCAAACTTTGTCGAACTGAGGGGCTTAATACCCTATACATGCGAGCAGTTCTAACTCTCATTAGGCCAGCAGCATTGAGCAGCTTCTAACTGTGATCCGACTTCACTGAACTGAAATGGATCTTAACTAAGTCAAAGTCAGGACAAAACGAAGTTGGCTGTCACAGGCAGCAGGCTTCGTACCGTAGATTACTGAGCGTGCACCTGTGTTGCATTAAGCAGCCACTTCTACTCCAGAAACATTTGAAATATAAGCAAAGCACATATCAAGCAACCATTTCTCTGACTAGATGTAGAGAGGAAAGCGTCAGTCTCCCTCCCTCCCCCCCCCCCTTGAATTCCTCGTGTTTAAGAATTTAGGGCAGGGAAAAGATGTGGCGGGGGATTTTCAAACATCTGATAAGCTGAACCTCCCCTCCCTGCAATCTGCCGCTGCCTCCACTTAAGCTGCTTCTCCGAGAAGCCAGTCTAAGGCAGTGAAGCTTTACATGCATGTGTCGGTGCGAAGCAGCGAAGCTTGATTTTGAGGAAGAGAGTGCTTTAATAGTTTTTTCGATTTGGCAAGAAAAATATTGACTACATCAATAACTTACAAACCTACCAGAAGTTTGCTTAATTATAAGGCTATGTTCCAGTAAACTTGCAGGGCCGGTACTGACCCATTTGAGGCAAACTCTCAGAGTGAAAGAATTACTAACATGACACTAATTAAAAAAAAAAAAAAAAAAAAAAGAATTCTGGTTTTTTACGAAGATGTTTTCCTGTGTGTTAAACGTATGAATACAGTAAAGCGAGGTTGTGATGAGGTTGCAGTGTTGGTGCAGGCACATTGTTGCTCGTGGCACGTGGTTGCTCGAGGTACTTTGTCGCTCGCGTCATGCGTCTCGACCGGTGCATGGTCTCTCCCCAGGGCACGACACGTCCACCGGGGAGCGTAAGGAGAGCTACCGCCCCTACTTCTTGGACCACTTTGACAAGAAGGAGCGGGAGCAACAAAGCGCGGCCGGTGGCGGGGGCGCCAACAGCGCCAAGACCCCACCTCGCCGGGACGCAACGCCCCACCCCGGACAGTTCCCCCAGGACCTGGCAAAGGTGCTGGGCGCTACGGCCTCCGTGGCCCCTCAGGCAAGCGGACCCCCTTTCCCCCCGTCTCGTGCCTCGGTCGTCTTCTCGCGCTGCTCCTCGCTGAAGAGCGCCGTTTACCCCTGAGGCGGCGTGCTGTTAAGCCTGCGTGCTTGAGGGACCAGTTGACTGCTTTCCTTTCGTCTCCTGACCCGGAGTTTTGCACATGGATATTGGCTGTGGCATGACAACGTCCGTAAAGTTGGGTGCACAACTTGTCCAACGACGAGCACGTAGCTTGCACCACGCTGCCGGCTTAGCGGTGAACGGGGTGCAGCAGAGACGCAAGAATTGTGACACGAAGCCACACAGTGGTGCTTTGGTTGCGCTTTGGTGAGCGGCCTTCAATGTGTGCGGGGGCAAGACGAGAAGTTTGGGCGTGCCAAAGCATTTTATGGGGCCTTAGGCCCCACGATGCACTTGAGCGAGCACTTGTGCGCTGAAGAGGACTTGTAAACTATGACTGCCGAAGCGTAATATAACAAGCAGAAATCGTCTGCTGGGACGCTGAAAATACAGCAGTAAAGCGCAGCGAAAGAAGTGAAAGTACGAACAAGAAACCTGCTTGAAAACTAACCCAACATTGGGGCACAAGGTCGCTTGGCAAACGGCTAACCCGCTGAACGAATGCCCACCGAGGAGCTGGTGGTAGCATGTTTAATGTCGGTTTTAGAGTGAATCGCTACTTCCCATTAGGGTAATATTTTGACAGTGCTCAAATTTAGTCAATATAAATCGATATCAGTCACTTATTTTGGTTCTACTTTTGACCGAAGTTACCGTTTAAGATCTGGCAGTTACATTTTCTTTTCATGAACCCTTTAGGTGCCTTGGACAAATTGAGCTTGTTGGCCGCTTTCTGGGTAAAATACCATGGACGAGTTCAGCTCGTCCAGTGGTTTTCCAGTAGCTTTCAATACCACGGACGGGCCAGGCTCGTCAGAGTAGTTTGCTGTGCTGATCATAGATGGCAGCACTCGTTTTAGTTGCCGGCTTTTTTTTTCACCGCCGCTGATTTTTGCGTAATAAACTTCAAATTTTATCTGTTATACTAGAGGACTAAAACTCATTAAGAAAAATATATAACATTTTTAGGTTCTTTTGAAAAAAAAATGGCACTTAGGGGTAAAAGAAACATTGAAATTTTGAAAAACGTTTCGAGTGGCTTACTGGGACACGTATGTTGCAAAATAACCCCCCCCCCCCCCCCCCATTCCCCATTTAAAAAGGAATAAAATAATGTGCTCTGTTTTTATGCTGCAATACACATCTTGAATTAGGAGTGAAACTGAAACCAACTTTTTTTTTCGGAAAGTCACGATTTTCTCCATCATCCGTAAAATGGCCTAAGCTGAGTGTGGTCCCTTTCAATAATAAACAAACACCAATGTTTCTGGGGCTTGCGTTCGGGTGATCACCGTTCGTGGGAGACGCACGCGCACACCAAACCATTTCCCCGCCAACCCAAACTCATCGACACTTGGCTGTTGGAAGCGTGCGAGAAAACAGTGGCGTCGCGGTGCAGCTCCTGGAGCGAGACAAAGACATTGCACGTAGCAGCCGACCCTAGCTTCTATTTAACGTGCCCTAACATGCCACTTTATAAAAAAAAAAAGTTTATGGTTTGTGTTAACGTTTTTTTACGCAAGACCCGGAAATTTAGAGCACATCCCCTCCACGCACTGTGAAAAAAAGCCGCGATCTTCTCGATTCCAGTACGTTTAAGGCCGGTTCTCACATGCTGCGAAGCGCTGATGTAGCGCTGCTCACGTGCCGTCAGCTACTTATCGTCTGCCATGAGCAACAGTTTTGACGGTGCGATACAAAGCTGGTGAACGCTCCCGTCGGCACGTGCTTAGCGCGAGGTCAATGCTATGCTTGTGGCGCTCCGCTGCATGTGTGAACAGGCCTTTACTCTATCCACGCCAGCAGGCAAAGAGCTATCTGATAAGAGGAGCGAAAAATACCTCTCTTGCAGATTTTGTCGCTTAGTGGCGCCGGCAAATGCGGTCTTGTGCCGATTCCCGGACGTTCAAACGCACAAACGTATCGTAGATGCACGTCCCAGCATAGGCGCAGGTAAACGAATAACACGGCAGCGTTTTGCAGTTGAGCCACACAAAGTAGACAGTTTTCCAAATGATGCATAGGTTATGGGCGGCCGCCATTAGCTGGTCACGCACTGTGATCATGCATTGGGCATGAGCGCTTCGTCAGCATTCAGAGTGCGCTCAAATCGAAACGTATTTCACACGAGCGCTGCGTCGGTGCTCATCACCAGCTCGGAACCAATCGCGGGCTTCAGGCCAGTAGCAATGAGACCAACTAATGGCGATTGCGCATAATCTATGCACCATTTCAGAATTTCGAAGAGGGTCTATTGCGGGGTACACGATAGAATTTGAGTTCTGAGCCTCTCTCCTGCGGGTCGAACGACGCAAGCGCAAGTACGGAGCAACGTCGGGCGTGGATGCATCGGAATGCGAAGGTGCCAAATCTTCACTCTGGATCGAGATCGAGAAGCGTGGGCGTGGGAAAGCACAAACGTGGCAGAGACGCTGCGGATCGAGGCCTAAGCGGGCAGACGTAACGCGGACACTGTTGTTTCCGTAGCCGCCGAGGTGGATTGGCACACTCTCTTTAGGTGTCGTGCTCCCTAATACTCCGTTCACCGATACGCCGACTGGGTGGCTGAAGCTACGTGCTTGTCGGACCGGTTAACTGCTGGTCTCGTACGATTTCTGTTCATGCCGTCGCAGAGAGAGCAGGACGAGAAAGGGCGGACGGTTCATTCGTTCAGCCAGAGCCACCGAATGAGCTACGCTTTTTTGAGAAACGTCGCTTCGTTTATCTTGACACTCGAAATCGTCGTTGCCAGTCGTCCGAAGCTTTGCCCGAAATCACAGGAAACACTGTCCTTCGTAAATGTTAATACGGTTTACGGCGGAACAAGCCGATACCGTCTGATCTTCCCGATGGCGTATTCCAAGCTCAGGAAGTCGCATTTTGCAATTTCCCTAAAGCCTAAATCACAGTTGTGTTTGACTGCGTTAAGACTGCTTGCATCGTGCTGTTGCTATGGCAACCCTTACGACGAGCCGTTGGGAAGGCGCTGTGCTACGTGACGCAACGCAGTCGACGCAACTGTGGGAACGAGCCTTAAGTGTAACTTAACAAGTGGCTCCAGATTGTGGGTTGGGGAGATAACCGGCCGAAGCGTTTCTCCGTGGAACTGGACTTGGCAGCTCTCGGTTGGTTGCTCTACATGTACCCTAACAACCGTGAACCTCCCGTCCCGGTGATCGGCAGGTGGCACAGCCGCTGCTTGTGGGCCACGGCGGCGGAGTGAGTCTCGGCTCAGCCATGGCGCCCTCGGCCGCCACGACGCCCGGACTTGCCTCTCAGCAGGAGAAGTTTGAGCAGCAGCTGCAACGCCAGCTGAACCAGATGAGCCAGGGCTCGGCGCTGGGCGGGTCTGCACAGTCCCTGTTGCTTCAGCAGCATCGGCTGCAGCAGCTGCAACAGTTCCAGCAGCAACAGCAGCAGCAGCAGCAGTACCAACAGCAGCAGCAGCAATATCAGCAGCAGCTGCAACTGCAGCAGCATCTTCAGCAGCAGCTTCAACAGCAGCAGCAGCAACCACATCCGCTGCTGACGCAGGGAATGGCACATCCACCCTCGCCCTTGGACTACTTGCAGCCACCTCGATTCCAGCCCCGCACATTTGTCGAGGGAGACTTTGACTTTGTGAGTGGGGCTCGGGATTTGGCTCGGGGTTGACTCGGGATTGACTAGAGGTTGGCTGAGAATTTGCTCGGGTTTGGTTGTAATTCACTCGTGGTTGGCTTGAAATTTGACTCGAGGGTTAGCTTGGATTTGGCTCGAGGTTGGCTCGGGATTTAGTCATTATCTCGCCATTCACTGGCACATTCCTGGAACTTTGAAGTGATGTTCATTCCAGAGTTGCACTGGTGGATTCTAATGGGAGCGTTGAGTCTGCATTCCTCTACTTCTACTCTGACGGTACGAGTTTTGTACTCTGAGCGCAGCAACTAAACAGAGCGTAGCTGTGAGGAGCGCGATGCACCAAAACTATCGGCAGGCCGCATGAGCCACTTCTGACTGCTGGTTATGACAGTTGGGAAACGATCCCTGCATCTTGTGGGTGCTAGTGTTAGAAGCCGAAATTACGTCCAATGTAAATTAATCGAGGCCTATATGAAACGGCCGAGTGTAAAGTAAAAATGTTGGTGACGGTTTGAAGTTCCTTCAAATATTTTCATATCCCTGAAAGGTTTAAAGTAGAGACATGCTTCGAGTACATGCGCAGAAAATTACCTCAACTGATCTGCTATTTATTAACTATGCATTCTGCCCAAACTAAAAAAAAAATTTTTATTTGTTTGTTGACGCAGGAAGCTGTAAAACTTCCGAGGTGCTCCTTGGCTCCGTCTTGCAGTGCAAGACGGAACTCGTCGATATGCTACCCTTTTCGAGAATGTTAATCGACGTTTTGGCTTTCCAATTCAGGCATCCTCATTCCCTGGGCTAAGCATTCCAAAAAGGCTGGAAGTCCGACAGTCTGCTCATCTCGACAACTTTTTTGACAGTGCGCTATCGACACATTACCATTTCATAGATAGCACGCCAATTTGTTTTCGGGCGAAATGCACGATCAAACCTTTGTCTGGAATGCCAATTGATGTCCTACCCGTCCAATAGAATCGTCTTTACTGACCGGGCTAAGCCTTCCTCAACCGAAAGAGGGCAGCATTCCTACCGATCTCCCCTTTTCAACGACATTTTTTTCGGCACAGCCACCTCATTTGGGGGGGGAGTCGCTCCCCCCCAAACGAAGTGACGTCGCGCAAAGAAGCGATCCGCACTTTGAGAAAAACTCCGTGCACAAAGAGTGCGCTCGAGTGGCGCTCTTTAACGGCGCTCTCGTCCGTTTAGTGAAATGAGCTCCGAACCCTCTAGGCTCGTTTACACGGCTGCGTTTGACTGCTTTAAGGCTGCTTGCGTCGGGCTGTTGCTATGGCAACCCTTACGACGAGCCGATGGGGAGGCACAATGCAACGCGACACAGCGCAGTCGACGCAACCGTGTGAACGGGCCTTAACGCTCCAGAGCACAAACATAACGCGCCCAATGTGACGCTGACAAATGCATTGAACTTCCAACGTTGATTTTTTGGAGCGCAGATCTTGGGGTCGCAAAAGAAAGCCGCTTTCGGCGAGCGGTGTCAGTTCTTCGTTTGCTTGGTGGCCCCATGGTAGCCGAAAAGGAGGAGACGGCAGGACATCTCTTTCAAATTCTGGGCCTCTGGCAAGCGCTCTTTGCCCTTTGTCAATGCGATTACGGCACGTTGAAGCATTACCGAAGGTAGCCAGTATGCGCCAGAGGAGTGGCAACTTAAATTTTTCACTGCCGTCCTCGTCTTGACATCGAGCAACTGTAGTAGAGCGTCGAGATTCTTTTAGAAACTAAAGTGAGTGTGCGGGCGAGCCAGTTCGATGCGGAGCGCAAGTTTGTCCGCTTCTTTTGCGGGGGTTGTGGTGACGTCAAAATGCCGACCTCCGATTGGCTCTGATTGAAGGATAGTGGGTAGACCTCAAAGCAAGCTGCCTCGAAGTCTACCCACTATCCTTCAATCGGAGCAAATCGCAGCTTGGCGTTCCGAAGTCACCACGACTCCTGCAAAAAGAAGCAGAAGAACTTGCACTCCGCATGCCGACATGGTAATCCAGGAGCGGGTTGGCCCATCCCGTTTTTTTTGCCCCCGCCCTCGGACCACCGGGTCGGTTCTTTTGAAGGCCCGTTTGAGCAAAGTCTGAGGCATTCCGCTCGGCGAGACGGGCAGAAGGTGGGGAGTGGGTCGCTCACCTGGCAGGGGCCTCTTGTCGCTCAGCGAGAGCCCCGTCTGCTGACCCCGTTGCAGCTCAAGTACCTGAGCAACGAGGAGCTGGGGCAGCGCATGTCCAGCCTCGACGGCGAGATGGAGCGCGAGATAGAGGACCTCAGGCGCCGCTACCAGGCCAAGCGACAGCCCATCCTCGATGCCATGGACACCAAGAAGAAGAGGCAACAGAACTTTTGAGCCACGTTCCCGGGGACGAGTCGTCGCACCCGCATCCCCGCCTGTCCCGCCCACTGCACAGGTTCGCCCTGTGGTGCCGCTTTGCCACGAGACCCCGCAACATCTGACGCAGTGGGAGTGGAGGCTCGGCGTCCAAGGAACTTAGGTTTTACTTTGTCTTTTTTTTTTTCTTTTCTATTTTTTTTTTAGCTCAATTTAGTGCAAAGTGCCGATGCAGCACTTGTGTCCAATCTTTCCCATGTTGGCCTTTTGTGGGCAACATAAAAAATGCACCGTTGTTGCACGCTGACAGTGTTTCGTGGAGGGGTACGAAAAGAGTAGACCATGTCTAGTTTAGGTGGCGCCAACTACCGCCAGTTTTCGCAGCAGGTTCTTGACACACGTAAGAGTCTCCACCCGTCGCGCTGCAACGCGGACGTCTCTGGTCGTACGATTGAGGAGAATGTTTTATGTCCTTTAGTACACTTGTACGCGTCTTGGGGTACTTAGGATCGTGTGGCATTAACGTCATGTTTCTAGATTCCGGAAATTTTTAACTCTTTGTTCGAACCACTTTGGTGCGCAAAGAATGGGGAATGGGGTTTTGGACGGGCCTTCGACCGCTGGTCACACGTGGACGAACTCGCGTTTGTGACCGCGGGATTATTCCAGGGGGCTGTGGACGGTCTTGACCCTGTCTTCGGGGCATTGCGGCGAATTGCGGACAAGAGATAGTTGGTTTTTTATGTGTTCGGAGATTTTTTTGCATTTTGATTGTAAGAAAGAAATTAACTTCCCTCGTCCTGTCACTGAACCGGCCTTACTTTTGGCACGTGTTTAGTGTCTGTTCCTATTTTTTGCTTCAGACCTAGCGCCTTGTTTGCTGCATGTGGGCCTTACGTGTCACTTGCTGCTTTTATCGCTTTCATTAATTTTTTTCTTTTTTACATACTGTTTTTAGGAGAATGTTCTTGTGGTCCCTGTACCGATAAAAGTATGTCCACGCATCGAGCAGGGTGGAAATGAATGGAGTGCCAATTTTGTACGCAAATAGTTGCTTTTATTTTTTTTAAAGCCTGCGCAATTCTCTTTGCACTGGCCCGATCTGCCACGGTTGATTTTGCTTTCTATTCGGCTGAGCGTCGTCTTAGCCTTCTCCCTAGTCACAGCCATTCAGTGACCTCATCTTAACGCGGGCGTGCCATCTTAAACTGTCGTCATCGTCGTCTTCTGCGGCATATGGCAGACGGGCATCCTTGCTTTGTACAGCTACGAGTTAATCGAATATTCCAACTGTCCAGGCTCAAAGTGGAACGGCCAGGAAAACCCGAGAGTGCCTTGTCTTTTCCAGCTCTTGAAGAAACACCTTTGCACAAAGCAGCACACCTTACCACATAGCAGCACCCTAGATGCCACGGAGTTGTCTCCACGTTGACAAGTTTTGACTCGTTTTTGTGCTCGGTGAAGAGAAGCTAAGTAACAATTTTTAAGAATGACTATTTTTTGTCCCGGACCACACGGACCTTGTGATAATGTGGTCTCGTGTTCTGACGCTGGAACCCGGCATGTTCGAGGCATGCAGTTTTTACAAACGACGAATAGAGTGTATGTGGCCCTGGAGAGACGTCTGCTCCATTAATAAGCATGCTGCATCAGCACCAGTTCAGAGCAAATGTCTGCACATCTTGCATTGGGGGATGGCTTTCGAACAGGAAGTGTAATTTTTGCACCGACCCGCATAGAACTTGTGGCATTATTGTGGTTTTTGTAATCCGTTGGGCAATACAGTTTTGTGCCTTGGCGACGTGCGTAATCGCTTGGGAGTTTTATGTGTACCTATAGACTCATTTTTTGTTTAGAACTTTGAATGGATGTGTGTGTTTGTGTGCTTGCATTTTCTCGCCGCTTATTTATTGTACATAGCTGGACGCTTGTGTCTGCTAGATCTGTCATGACAGAGAAACAATTTAGTCTCGATTAAAAGTATGAACAACAAGCGACTTCTGTTTGGTGCGGCTGTTAGCCGACTGGCTGGACATTGGCCCGGGATCTCTGGTAATGTGGATTCCATCTGTCTCGTAGTTCTCGGGTTTTAACTCGTTAACCATACTTAAAAAGGTGCATGCCATATTTTGGCATTTTAAGCACACTAGTGAAGTCCTAAATCTGACTACCATATTTAATCGCAATTTTATTAGAGTCTCGGCTGTACTAGAGTCGGCAGTACATGTTGCCTCATGCCCCAGAGGAGAATACCTAATTCTTTTCCACATCTAGGGAGCGATATTGCCCTGCCTTAAAAAACCCACTAAATGCTCCATTTTTTTCTGTTTTTAATAGATTTTTTTTTTATTTTTTTTAAGCAAAATGTACCACGGCACTGAGAAGGAAGGCGTAGCAAAAATGGGCAACGTTTTCAGTAAAATTTGTAGCACATTTCGCGATTTTTTTTTAGATTAATTCATGAAAACTTTGTAACTTAAAAATGAACTTTCCGAGCTTTTATCTCGAAATATTCGATTTTTCGAACTTGATTCTTGAATTAATTTGAAATGTTCTCGAACTATCCGTAAAAAATGTTGATGTCTTCGAACTCTTATTTTTATTAAAACTGGTTTGGACTAGGGGTGTCGCGAACCGGCCGCGGTTCGAGTTCGACCAGGTTCGACTTTTTCGAACTTTTAGTGGAAATTTCGACGAACCTTCTATTGAGGTTCGACTCGTGTGCGCATGCGCGACAGGCTGGCCAGTTGGCTTCGGATTGGATGATAATGGCTAAGACATGAATGAAGTGCAGCGCTGATTGGTTATTTCAGTTAATACAGCACAAAACAATTAAGTTAATAACTTCTTGAGTGATTAGAATTGGTTTCTTTAATTGCAACTGTTCATAAATTTAAAAATAACCCTTCGCATAAAAAAAATTTCTCCAAACTTAGACATGCTTTTATAAAGGTCTGGCCACACTGTCCACAAAGTCGAACCGGTCGAATCTGGTTAAAAGTTCGAAGGTTCGTCGAACCGGTTCGACCCAGTCGAACCCCGAAAGTTCGACCAAAAAATCTGGTTCGACAAAAGTTCGCGACACCCCTAGTTTGGACTAGTTGGTCCATGGTAGGTTTAAGGTTTAAAAGCGCAAACTTTCAGAAACTTTTAACATTTTCGAATTATTCGCATTGAACCTCAGCGGGGTTCTAAAGTTGTAAACATTTCAAAATCGAACATTTCGAAACCTTTCGACCTCGACCTTCGGTGGGTTCGCGGCATCCCTACCCAAAATGCATTTTGTAACATGAATATTTCATTATTATTATTAACTTGAAGGTTCGGCAGCCCCCTGCCTGGTTAGAAATAGACACGAAGTGAAAAATAGGGACTCTATACAAAAATTTTATAAACATTTACTCGACGTTTCGGGACCAGTTCGGTCCCGAAACGTCGGGTAAATGTTTATTAAATTATGGTTAGAGTCCCTATTTATCGCTTATTATTATTATTATTATTATTATTATTATTATTATGAAATGCTTCGTGTGAGGAGTGTTGGGAGCCAACTTGCCGCTGTTTACATTTATTGTGACACGCCGAGCTTTGAGATTTGGGACGAGCTAAACCGAAACTAAGCGAAAAAGTTGCGCAGGAAGTTCCTAGTGATGTCACTTCCTCAACTGTCGGTTGTTGAATGGCGTCAGCAGCTGTGGCGGTGGCGAGTAGTTTGGGGACATGTGCGCGGTGTTGGTGTTTCTTCTCGAAGACTCGAGCTTTCCGAAGTGATTAGTGATTCTCAACCACGACACAAGCCTCGCGACACCTGCAGACCGACACTCGACCCGCTTGACACGCCGCTTCGGTTACGATGTTAGGAACGCGCTTCCTTATCCTCTACGGCAGTCAAACGGGCACCGCTCAAGACGTCGCCGAACGAGTCGGAAGGTACGCGAAAAGGTACCGATTCCGCGTCAGCGTTCAGGCCATGGACGAGTACTCTATCAACGAGCTCATAAATGAAACACTGGTGCTCTTTGTGTGCGCGACGACGGGACAGGGCGAAGAGCCGGACAACATGAAGGGCTTCTGGACGTTCCTCCTTCGCAAGAGCTTGCCCGTGGACTCGCTCAGGGGCATGAACTACGCTGTTGTCGGGCTCGGCGACTCGTCGTACTTGAAGTTCAACTTTACGGCCAAGCGGCTGCACAGGCGCCTCGCCCAACTCGGCGGCGAGTGCTTACTGGAACCCCTGTACGCGGACGAGCAGCACGAGTTCGGTCCCGACGGCATGCTCGACCCCTGGCTCGAGCAGTTCTGGAAGACGGTACTGGGTCGGTACCCGCTACCGCCGGGACTGCAACCCGTAAGTGAAGACGTGCTACCGGCGCCCAGGTACCGAATTCAACAGCCCGTGGGTACGAACGACAAACTGAACATAGTCCAAGAGCCAAATGAGCAACAATTTTTAAGTCCCGTTCTCTCGAATCAGCGTGTTACGAACCCTTCGCACTTCCAAGACGTGCGACTAATCAAGTTCGACATCAAAGGTATGCACGTTTGTTATAAGGGTTACGTGACCTGCGGCCATTGATGTGTCTTTGCTGCTGGGCGTTCACTTTCTATAGCATACTGTAAATGACCTAATTTTCGCAAGGACCTAATTTTCGCGAAAAATACGTCCCGCGAACAATTCCGGCAAAATGTAAACACATTGGAATTTGTGTCGAGATCCCACCGCGTCGCGAAAATTAGAACCCGAGAATTATTCAAAAATTTCAGCTTTCAACTAAATCGCGAAATATTGAGCCTGCGAAAAATAAGTCGTTTACAGTATACACCTCACACCGCCGAATACGTTTTGCTCGGAAAGAAGAAGTAGGAATGACCCAGAATGATCACCTGCACGGGATGAGGACGTCGCATGCAAGCCATGTATTCCTGTGGATGCAATTCATACTGCTTTGTTTCCCTTAGGCTCTGACATCACTTTCGTGCCTGGGGACGTCGTGCTGGTGTTCCCGGAAAACTCTGAGGAAGACGTAGCCGAGTTCTTCAACCTGTTTCACCTGGATCCCAACGAGGTCTTGCAGCTAGTGCCCACTGAGCCTGGAACCTTCCTGCCACAGCTTCTAGCACACCCAACCACACTGGAAACATGCGTTCGGAAACACTTTGACCTGTCGCACATTCCGAAGAGGTGCGTCGAATGATCTACCCACAACATTTCATTGGTGCGTAGTGTCCGATATGTGAATGGGGCACGATCAATTGGTAATCATTGTTTGTCAATATGTTCACAACCGTCTGTGTGATGCTGGGGATTCTTTTGCCATGGATGGGAAGCTCTGGGAGTCGCTAAATGTTCTCGAGTGCCGCACCTTAGAGCATCTGCTGGAGCCGAAAATAATTCTTGCTAGTTAGTTGTTTGTGGCCATACTGATGCTAGACGAGTCCATGCGCATGTTGCCATAAATGAGAATCTGGATGGTTGTGCTGTTGGCTTTGTCGACGCTCTTTGGTGGTTGTTAAGGTTTTGGCAGACACGAATGCCCAAAGTCATAGAAGCAAAAGAATTTTGCGCCAAGAACTAACATATCTACTGTTGGGTTTCTTCGTGACACTAGTTTTGGGGTGTTATCATTGAGGCCACTAAGAAGTTGGGAGGCTCAGAACTCCATGAGTGTCCAGGGGCTTTGATTATGCCCCGGCACAGTTGACGAGGTTTTGGTCAAACTAACCAGAACTTCTAATAATAATTGTGGGATGAAAGAGCTGCTGAACCTGAAATGTCCCAGCACTGGGGTGCAAGTAGAGGACAGATGCAGACAGCAGATAAATGGCAGCCTTCAGCAATGCATAGGGTTGACTTGTCTGTTGCCTATCTAAGGAGGATTCAGAATTGAACAGGCATCCCTTCAGGTTGCAAAAAATGAGACAGGTTGCAACTTGAAATGGTTCCGCAAATACTAAGTATGTCTGACAGAAGGAAGAGATTAAATGTAATTGATCTCTTGAAAGAAATATGCAAGACTACATAACCTGGAAGGTGATTCAATGCAAGAAGTGCTCTCATCTTGATTGGAATTGCTCCCTTGAGTGATATCTCCTTTTTGTTTCACGTCCAATGCTGTGGTTCTAGACAACGACTTGCTTTTACTTAAATTTTGTGTTGTGGTTATTATAAGCCAGCAGCATGAGCTAACTGGACCACTGATTTAGCAGTTGAATGTCGAAGTCAAAGATACTACATCGGGTTTACTACATCGGGTTGATGTGTTGACTGTTTGACAGAGACTTATTGTGGGGAACATGCCATGTCACGAAATTAATGGTCCATGTTAAAATATTTCAGTGGCCTAAAATTACCTTTACTGGTTATTTTAGGCATGCCCTTTGTTGGTTTGGCATGTAAACTGCCCAAATTTACTTCCTTCTGGTTTCCCTAGTACTCTTTTGCTACAAAACACTAATGCCGACACCTCGCATGTAGGTCCTTCTTTGAACTCTTCTGGCATTTTGGAGACAACGAGCTGGAAAGGGAGCGACTGCGGGAGTTTGGCACCACCTCCGGCCAGGAAGACCTCATAGACTATGTCATCCGCCCGAGACGGACTGTCCTGGAAGTCTTCACTGACTTCCACCAGACAACGTCCAAGGTTCCGCTCGCCTACCTCTTTGACCTCATCCCGCCGATCCGCCCGCGTTCCTTCTCCATCGCCAACTCGCTGCTCGCCCACCCCGGCGAGATCCACATCCTGGCGGCCATCGTCAACTTCCGCACCAAGCTGAAGAAGCCTCGCCGTGGTCTGTGCACGACTTACCTGGCCGGACTGAAGGTGCCTGAACTTTCCAAAGTGGCCGACCTTCCCAAAGTGTCTATCGCCGTCAAGAAGGGTTCTTTGAGGATGCCGGTGAACGGTGCTCCGACGATCATGGTCGGGCCCGGTACAGGTTGTGCGCCATTCAGGGCGATGATCCAGGACCGGTGTTGGCGGGAGGTCGGCAGGAACCTTCTGTTCTTTGGGGGCCGGAGCATGAAAGGGGACTTCTTTTTCGAGGAGGAGTGGAGTGGCCTGGTGGCGAGGGGGCTGCTCGAGTTGGTCACGGCCTTCTCCAGGGACCAGGACCATAAAATGTGAGTCTCAAGGAATTTCATTCTGTGCCAGCTTTAAATGCTGGCAGAGAATATGCATCGAAGACAATATTTCGGGCCCTGTAAACTCTGTGTTTTCTGCTTCCTGGTAGCTCAGCATACCTCCCAATTCTGTTTCAGCATTTTAAGGTAACTCTTTCCTCACAGAATAGAGCATGTTACAACAGTGGCCAATTGTTGAAGCTGAAACGTATCAATGCATGTGATTTACGCAGACATCTTGAATTTCTGGGGTCTCCACGTACGATTACGTCTTTTACCCTTACTGGCGCCTTGTGGATGGACATTGGGGCCAGCCTATTGAGGCGCTTCCTCAACCATACGATTTTATAGATAAGTCTTCAGCATCTTCAGCTGCTGCCATTATTGGCATTGTTGCCGGCTTCTTCAGGGCCTTGATATTTTGAACCGGCGAGCACCATCAAAAATATGTGGAGTGTATGCATTGGTGACGCAGCCGAGCAAGCTCCATCCTTAGTTTAGGTGCGAGAGTTGTGGCATAGAGGAAAAAGTATCCAGTGGTCAGCACCTGGCTTGCTTTATTTTTGTTTATGCTGGCTTGTTGACCCTAATGTAACTTGTATTTTGAAGGTGACATACGGGGCCCATCCTGTGGCTACGTGCACAATCGCAAGATTAGTTTTATAGCGCAGCTCTTAGGGGCCCGTTTCCAGCCTGAGCGGCGTCGCCGTCGCCGTCGGCGTAACCGCGCCCCTCCCTCTCCTCCTCCTCCCCCTCCCCTCCTCCTCCCCTCCTTCTCCTCCTCCTCCCCTCATTGTGTAGTATGGTCCGGGCGGGTCCCGTGACCTCGGGGGGAGGGGGTCACATGACCCGTTTCCAGCCTGTGCGGCGTCGGCGTCGGCGTCGCCCCTCCTCCTCCTCCCCCTCCGCTCCTCCTCCTGACTCTATATTTCAGAGCACAGCCCTTACGCGACCCTTTCTGGCTTGAGCGGCAAGGAGGAAAGCAGTACGAAGGTGGAGGAGGGGGGAGGAGAGACGAGGAGGCGGAGGCGAGGGGAGGGGAGGAGCTTGAAGGACGAGGAGGTGGTAAAGGAGAGGGAGGGGGAGCAGGAGGGGAGGAGTACTAGCAGGCATGATCACGAGGGAGGAGGAGGAATATACCCTCCACTCCTCCTCCTCAAGAGCTGCGCTCCAATTCGGCGTTACAGGAAGTTGTAAACGGCTTTCACTTTTTTGCCTCCATGATCCCAGGCAAGTCTTGCGCTGCATTCATATTGCTTTTCAAATTGCAACTGTATTGCAGATCTGCTCGTTTTCATCATCAAATGCACGTGAATTCGTACTGCATTTTCAAGCGACCGCATTCGCAACTGCTTCGCAAATGCGGTTCAGCCGCCAATGAGAATGCGATGTAAGGCTGTTGAGGCTGGAGCAAAAACTTGCAAGTTGAAAAAAAGAAAATGTGGCTACTACTTTTATGTGGGAAAAGTTTAGGGAGATATTTACTCCTTGGTGTATGTTTTTTTTATATCCTATTTCATGTTGGTCAGCCGCATTTCTAGGCACCATATTCTGGCAAAGTGACGAAGTGTGTGCTCTGTCAAAGATATTGCCATTTTCTAAAATATGTGTTTTCAAGGTATCCAAAACATAAATTCCCAGCTAAAAAAAAAAAAAAATAGTTTTTTGTTTTTAATTTGTTTTGACTTTTGTTTTTACATATCCTATATATCGGCCTTAATAGCCCTTCCTATTGTGAAAATGCTAGAAGTCCTGTGGTGCTTGTTAAAAAAAAATGTACTGATTAATTCTGGTAGTTCCCAAACTACCGGCAATCATGCAGTGCAGCTAGGTAGCTTCCATACGTTGCACAGCCTCGCTTTAGAGTGCACATCTGCATCGCAGAAAACGTTCTATCGATCTTGATTCCAGAGATTCGAGAACCAGCATTTAATATAAGAAGCTACACAATCTAAAAAATCCCCCCCCCCCCCCCCAAAAAAAAAAAAAAAAAAAAACACAACTTGAACACAATTTTTTTTTTTGTATGCCTTTACAATTTTTGGGTTCGCAAAGTCCTTACTATACTTTTTACTGTGATATCTGTTAGGGGCTTTTCTCACTTCTGGAAATTACGTCCATTGTTGATATTGTAGTTGGCGACACGTCGCCAACTACAAAGTCAACAATGGACGCCAGCGGGAATCGAACCTGGGTCCACCGAGTGCAAAGCGGAGACGTTACCACGTGCGCGACCAAAAGCGTCACTGCGATCGGCCTTCCACGATTGGCCAGACACTCACTACGACGTCTTCAGTGGGATTATTTCTGCTCTCGTCGACGAAAAGGAGACTCAGACTCTCAACTCTAACGGTGTTGGTTTAGGAAGCTGGTGACTAGGCTTCCACCGCGCTTTTTATGCACCATCAAACTTGTCGCTCGCTTCTAATGGTCTTACAGGAACCATAAGAGGGTGCCACCGAAACATCTCATCACCAATACTTTGGGTTTTTGTGGTACTCAATGTCAATGACAGTGCTCTTAGCACTGTCAATGCTAAGAGCTCGTGCCGCTAGACATGCTTCCATGCGATCCGGAACAAAAAAAGAAACAAAAGCGTTCGTAACAAAGTGGGACAAATTTGAAGCGTTTGGAACAAAACTGATCTTTATTTTGTTCCAAACGATTTTGTTTACGCACCACTTGGTGCATGAACGCGACGCTGATGCCGAACGACTTCACTGTGACGTGTCGCAGCTATAGGTTTTTTACGACCACCATAGTTTGCAACCTGCGGCTACTTTTCTAATGTACTGCTAGTGGGAGCACTTTTCGAGGTCCCTAAGTTGCAATCTTAGCTTCATCCTTCATAGTGCCTTCTTTTCTTTTTCTTTTTTCTTTAACTTAGGGTTTTTGGCGAAAACGCAACTTCCTTGTTTTGAAGTTCCATCATCATTTGTCTCATGCGTCCAGAAACGCTGGGTGTGCAGGGGTTGCAGGTTTCAGCGGTGTCCGTCCATTTGCAGCTATGTCCAGCACAGGATCGCCGAGCACAAGGACAGGGTGCTGAAGCTGCTGTCCGAAGGCGGGGTCATCTACATCGCCGGCAATGCCAAAGACATGGTTCCCGACGTCCGCAGCACGTTCAGGGCCCTGCTCAAAGAGGCCGGATCCCTCACCGAAGACGCCGCCGAGGAGCTGCTCAAGAATTTCGAGAGGTCGAGGAGACTTCAGATAGAAGCCTGGTCCTAGAAACTCTACGCGTATTCATTTCACAACTGAATCGTTGCAAGACCAGTGGAAAACACTGAGTAGTGCCGGTTAGGAAAATGGGCTCAGCCTACATGGTGTTTTTTGTGTTTTTTTTTTTAGTCTTTACTGATTTGTTTTTTAAAAGCTGTGAAAGCTACACTTGTCGGCTTCGGATAACTGTCAACAGTGATTTTAAAGGGGCCCTGCAAGGACTTTTTTTACTGGTTTTTAATTTGCACCGAACCTGAGCACACTAAACGTAGTAACTTAATCAAAATTTTCTTTTCTCAGCTTTCGCAGTATTTTAAAAGTTCTAGGCATATTAGAATTACAAAAACAAGAAAAAAATAACCTGCTTCATGACGTCCTTGTTTGCTTAAGTGGCCGTGAACTAGAGGAGGGGTAGCGAGTGAGCTCAGCGAGCGCTCACGGGCTGCCGCACTCCGTGTCGACGGCGCGAGAGGGCGCCACTAAAGCATGTTCTGGCTAGGCTGTATGAAGCGGGCAGCTAGGGCGGCTAATACTAATTCGGCATGACACTTCATTGGCCACAAACGCCAGCAAACGCTGGGTAAAGATCAGTTCAGAACGGGAGCCACTTCGCGCTGCCATACCGCCAAAAGACCAAACCGCAAGCCAAAACTGCTCGCCAAAGGCCTTGGGAACGCTCGGAACCGGTCGGATTCTCCAGTCCATAAGACCGCAGTGCCGCCGCGTACATCCGGGACCTTTCTACGCTCGCCGCTCGTTGGTGCCTAATCCCACCATAGCTTTCTAGTGTGCGCCGCCCTTTCCACCGCTTGGTGGCAGGTATGTCGACGGGTCATTTCTTGTTTCCATACTTATAAACTGCATTTGTTTCTTTTCTGATCTAAAATAGTGAACAAAAACTACTTTTATAAATAATTAAAGCAGTTCATGCCACTTATATTGTGTATTTCGACCAAAAAGAAGTTTTTAGCGGCTCTGACCAATAGTAAGCCCAGGACCAAAGACTTCAACACATATTGCACGCTTTCGGCACTGCGGGTCGCCTCGTAGGTGGAGGAGGTTTCCACGTCGTCCGGTTAGAATATGACGCACTGATATTTAGTTGCTCTCTCCATGCCTGCTGGCTTGCCCGAACCCCAAGAGACATGGAAACCGCAAAAAAAGGTTCTGGTCGGTTTGCCTTGCTGCATACCCGACCCGGAGGAATAACACGGAGCCGACGGTTTCAACAACAAGAAACTACATTTAATTGGACATGGACAAGACGATTAACATTGCTACCGGCGCTGCCGGAGTCCAGGCAGCGACTCTCTGTGCGCCGCCTCTGATGCGCCTTATCAAGGCGGCGCACGCGATGTGCGCGTGGCTGGCGTGACGTCGCCGCCACGCGGGAAAAGTTTGGCACCGTTGCCTCGCAGTCGGGCAACTGGGCTGGGAAGCCGCCAGGGTGCCCACAAGGTAGACGCTTAAATATGATATACCAGGTGGTGCAAGCTACCGCCCGTTATAAAGGGTATAGCCGTTATTATCCATCCATCAATGTCTGAAGTGTACATGAAGGTACAAAGCTTCTGGAGGTGACAAGACGTCACCAGAGGTGAAACCAAGGGTAGACTTCGGGTTTGGAGGAACACGCCCCAACAGTGACCAAAACCAAAAGGTGCTATTGGACGGACGTGGGCACTGTTGGACGCTATTGGACAAACTTGGGCACCCTTGGGGGCGTTCCCACTGACCACGAGCTTTACTTACGGCTTCACTTGGGACTTTCTCGTTTGGCTGCCTTGATGAGCTGGTATGTCACCCCCCCTTATTCCTACCTCCATGGAAGCGTAGATTATTTGGTGGGTCTGCTAGAAGGTACCTTTCAGTGTTGCGAAATGAGCACCCCCATTATCTTCCAGCTCCATTCCAGGAAATGGGATTTTCCGATAATTGCATTCCTTTGAACTCCTAGGAATGGAAACACTGGGTCCATTCCCACTCCTGAAATGGCTGAACCTTTCCATTCCATTCCTCTAATTCCCGACCGTGAAAAATGACTCTTGAAAGCTACATTAAATCGCCAGCAAATAATGTCAGCGAAGCTGGTGTTATAAAACGCTAAGACAAACTGCGAAACTTCGGGAAACACTTCCCGTAAGTATTGATTCTAATTGATTCTACTAAGCCGGCAAAACTTCAAGCGCGGGTGGTCACGTGATTCCTGTTGTCACGTGACTGCGCCCGGACAACGTGCAAAAAATGCGTCCCGGCCGGATGGGTTAGCACGCACCCCAGTGATATACACGCAACGAATTGTCTCTATAGCGTGCAGTTCGCATAACTAGTGCCGATGAAACGTGGCCATGAGATGTTGTCCTCGGAATGAGTTTTGTCGAAACGACAGGGAGGCATGCTGCTTAGAGAGGCTCGTTTTAGCGAACGCCGTTTTACCGACCCCAGTATCTCAAATCGCCTCATAGAGAAGCTCAGTTTAGACAAAATGGTGATGAGCCAAGGTTTTTATTTGTACATGACACATGGGAGACCAACTACCCAGAACACGACTTGCGGCTCGAAATTGCTCTTCTTTCCGCCCAAAAACCGCCGATCGAGAACTGGCCGGTTTGAGTCGCGCTCACTCTTCTCCGTGGTCACGGGCCGTTTTGTATGGTTTAGACTTAACCAAGAAATATAATCAAAGTCGTGGGTTTTTGAAGGCACACACTCAGTATTAAAAATATAAAGAAATGATCCATATTTCTTTTTTTTTTTTTGTGGCTTCAAAAAGCTGCTAATTCCTTGATTGAAGAAAGAAAAAAAAAAGTTGGACAGCCACATGATGTTTGGCAGCAGCGCTCTGGTGGCGCTGTCCAGTTTTTTTTTTTTTTTTTTTTTTTTTTTTTAACTTTAATCTTTACTTTTACTCCCCTGTCCAGTTTTGGTTCCGTGCAGTTTCGGTTGTTTACTTTATTAAAAATATATGTGACGCTGTAGCAAAATATTGATTGGGTAGTCTTCTGTCTCTATGTTGAATCACGTGGCAAAAAATAAACACAAAATTTTGGGGGGTGTCAGTGTGCCTTTAACATTTTCGTAATGAACCGCCGCAAAATGTCGCCGCCAAGCGGCGTAAACGGGGAGGAGAATTTAAAACGCGCCAAAAAAAGAATTTTTTTTTTTTTTTTTTAAAGCAGCGTTTTTTTTTGCGATAACATTTCTATAAACTGGGGCTCCACTTTCTCTATACCGAGCTTCGATAAAACGTGTTTCGATGAAATGGCGTTCAATCAACTGCTGCGGGGTGGCACTTAATTGGTCGAACGATGTTTTAGGGAAGTGCCGCCCTCGACTTTTCATCGAATGACACAGTTTAGCGAATTCAGCCGCCAAGAAGTGCCGGGTGCCACTTCTTGGTGGGAACAGGATATTTATTTATTTATTTATTTATTTATTCATTCCCTCAGGGCCCGAAGGCATTATAGAGGGGAGTGGACACACACATCTAATTGCACACAAAGACAAACAGTAATTAGGCGGGTGAGCATAAAAATCCAAAAACAGAACATTGTTAAAACAAAACACTGTCAACCAAAATCCAAAAAATATTCGCAAAGTGCAGCTTTGAATCCGGCATTCTCGGCTATGCTGGCAACAGGTGCGGGAAGGCGATTCCAGTCCAGTGATGTCATGGGTATGAAAGACTGATGAAAGCTTGAGGTGCGACACTGAGGGATGCCAACTTTATTTTGATAGTCGAAACGTGATGAGACGTATGATGGTTGTGTTAACAGATGCTGACGAAGATTTGCATTGTGGTGGTAAATTTTATGAAATAAACATAGACGAGATATTTTTCTACGTAGGGAGAGGTCAGACAAGTTTAGGGTAGTTTTCATTGCTGTTACGCTAGATGTGCGATGATAGTTATGCAGTATGAAACGAACAGAACGGTTTTGAGCAGCTTCTAATGATAATGCAAGCGTTATACCGGGGTCCCAGATAGCGGAAGAATACTCAAGTTTGCTGCGGACCAATGATTTGTAAAGAAGTAGTTTTAAGGACAGCGGGGCAAGAGAGAAGTTCCTTTTTAGAAAGCCCAACATGCGGTTAGCGTTTTTAATTATATACTCAATATGAATGTTCCATGAGAGGTTGTTAGTGATATGAACACCAAGATATTTAAATGAGGACACGGATTCCAGCTCAACAGTTCTTATATGGTACGAGGAACAGGTGTTATTTTGACGTGATACTCTCATGGATTTACACTTGTTAATATTGAGTTCCATTTGCCATTTATCACACCAACGAGAAATACTGTCAAGGTCAGACTGGAGTGCAAGAACGTCAAAATCGTTAGTTACTTCAGAATAGATTACACAATCGTCTGCGAAGGACCAACTGAGGATGAGATATTGAGATAGAGCGCTCACTCCAACTGGGTGTTTAATGCATTCCCCGAGGAAGACATAAAAGAAGAAACTGGTCATGTGAAGGTAGAAAGAGGAGGAAAATTAATGTTATAGATTATAGATGCATCAAAGAAATTAAAATTAAATGTGACTTTACACTACCAAAGAAGAAAGAGAGCGCGATCAAAAACAAAATTTAGAAGTATAAACAAAAGCAACCCAGGTCAAAGATGAAGTTAGGAAACATTACATGCACCCAATCACGCTTTGCAGTGCAAAAAAAAAAAAAAAAGTATGATACTTTTTTTTTTTTTTTGTAGTGCAAATATCGCACTAGACTACCAAAAATATCGCACTAGACTACCAAAAATATCGCACTAGACTACCAAAAATCCCTGCATGCAACACTGAGCGCTTTGCATTATGGGGGACATCTTCGGCCATGGAGAGCAGTGGCAGGGACTTTGCATGGTTTCGATTTCGCATGCCCCCGTTGACGAAGTAGTGCAACTCGGCACTGGGTGAAAATAAAGTCGGCGCTCGCCTGCGTTCCCATTCATTTTCGTCGGAGCCCCTGTTGAAACGCGGACCTCCAGTGGTCGTAAGGACCTGCCTAGACTTAACGAGAAGTAGGAGTAAGGCCCATAGCTTTCTTGCGGCCTTCCTACCAGCTCAGAGTGCATCATGGCCCTCCCGGGTCATAGGACATCGAGACGATGGAACAGGGCGATTGACCCAGTACAATTATTTTTCCTTTACTTGCGCACAAACTGTGCCTTAGAATTCTATCTGTATTGGTTGTCAGTATATGCTGTAAACGACTTTAGCTTTCCGGGCTGGATTTTGGGAAAGGGGGGTTTTGGGAATATTTTTCAGGAACAGAACTTCGCGATTGTGCATGCTGTATATTCGTTACCATAGAGTCCGCGTAACCTATTTTTCGGGTCGCGCGCACAAATTGTTTCTAATGGTTGAAAATTTGGCGTATGAAATTAGAATTTCAGTAGG